TGGACAGTTTTATCATTTACAGGTGCAAAGTGAGTTAGCTCAAAGAGCCTTTCTGGCTGTTGGATGGTTATCTGTGGATTGGAGACAATGGCGTTTTTGATGCCTTGAACCTTGTCATTGAAAAAAATTGCAAACTCATTGCATTTACGTTTAGCAGTTATCCCAGATCTACAAAAGACGGAAAACTCGAGGGAAAAAAAAGAACATGATGGAAATACTTTTACAGATGTGTTACTTTGCTGTGGTTTACAAATCAGATGATATTTATAGTTTAGTTTGTCGTTTTGTCTGTTCCAATCCAAATCCACTTGATTTACTTTACACATATAACATTTTATAAACAAGATGGTTTCCAAAGTGCTACACAGATGTAAGCAGGAAATCAATATTCAAACATAAATAAATGAATGCCCAATCTGACTCTACCAGTTATAAAATCGGAGTAATCTAATACCAGCAAAAAGATAACATACAATTTAGAGAAAAAAACACTTGTAGAGCACAGACCCCCGCCGAGAGGAGCAATTACATTTCTACCTGTAAACAGATAGTGATCCAGATACACTAAAGCTACACAACTTCCTTATAAATTATTGATTTATTTGGGTGTTTTATACTCATGTGCTCTTGGGAAAAGGGATCAGCAGTGAAACAGTGGAAATAGTGAATGATACGTTTGAGAAGTCACAATAGTCCAGTTTATTTTAAACTTGGATAAAGCAGGAACACAAAACAAGACACAAGCTTGTTACAACAGTCACAACACAAACTCCTCCCTGTACAAATCCCAGGGGTTTATTTGTGTACATCGCTGCTATGAAAACGTGTTAAGTTTGATATTAATTGTTTCCTCAGCCTTTTGGTAGATCACCCTTTGAGTCGTTATACTGTATCTACTGTAAGCTTGGAACTGAAATCTACCTCTTTGGAGCATCTCACTTGGTTTTTGGATCTCTTACCATCAAACTGCATCTCAACCATTTGGTTAAGGCCTATAATTAAAAAAATAGGGGTTACAAGAATAAGCAGACAAAAAAAAAACGTAAAAACAACTTATTTGTGGTTTTAGTGCTCCTACATCTTAGAAAATCCCAAAAAGAAAAATTCACTCATTTCTTCAAGGATTCAGGTTTTGTGGAGCAGGTACAAAACGGTTTTGCTGAACACGTGCCCTCTGCTCTCAAGCGCTCAAAAGCCAATGTTGAAATGAGATAAAGCATGGGACATTTTCAACATGTGATTGAAGAGGAAATTGGAACTTTTTGGCCTAAATGCATAAAATGTATGGCTCAGGAATAACACAGCTCATCACCCTCAGTGCACCATCCCCAGTACCAAATGAGGGGTAGGCAGCATCATGTTATGGGCTGCTTTTCTTCAGCAGAGACAGGTTAGAGTCAGAGTTGATAAGAAGGTGGATGGAGCAAAATATTGGAAGAAGAGCTGCTTGAGCTGGGGACGCTGATTACATACATGATTTTGTCTTTTTAATAACAAAATAATGTATCATGTTGCTTTCACTTCACAGATGTATTACTTTGCTGTGGTCTGTCAGTAAAACAAATCAGAATGAAATCTTTGTGTTTATGGGAATGACATTGAAACTTTTTTGGAATCATGGCCATAATTAATATATTTCTAGACTGTCTATTGTCCAAGAGTTAATTAAAGCCATCTGTTTCTTCTGAGAGTTCATTTCCCACTGTAATTATTGGAATTGTTCTGTCACTCACTCAAACCATGGGGGACATTGACCAATAGGATGACAGTTTTATGGCATTTACGGACATACAAGGATCCCTCGCATCATATTTTTCTAAATTCTAATCACATTTTATGTACTGCATTTTCCGCCTAGTTACTGAGGCCTCGTAAATCATTATGAATTGTTGTGGTTAACATACGCATGACTGTAAAACAAGGCAGTGTCACCATTGTCCTATTATAGCTAGACATTTTCAACTCGGGAAATCTAACATTTTATGCCAATGTCTACTTACTTTTTCAAATACAAATGGAACGACTGCAACTTATGAGTCAATGGAGGTTATTACATGAAAGAAACCATTACAAGAAACTTAAAACTACCAGAAATACAAGTTTCTAATCGCGACAATCTTTGTGTGTGTGCCTGAGCCTGTTCAAAATTCCATGTACTGTACATATATAGGTGTTGGTATGTGCGTAATGTGTACATTTGCGTGTTCCTGAAAAGTATTGCAGAATGAGCCATAGCATTAACTTAAAGGGTAAGATTATATGTTTTTATTACAATCAGTCCATCGTTATTTGCAGAGGGCTTTTCATACAAAGAGCAACACAAACCAACTCACAGTTCACAAAGAAACAATTTACATGAATTTCAACATGATCAGCATGCACAGTTTCATAGTCAAGTATCCATCTAATTTAGCCTCAGTTGTTCTGCCATTAACACTAAACTGCCATTTTCTTTCTTGATTTATGTAACATTGGTCATAATTCAAATAAATAACAGTCCAATTATCCATTTATAGATAATTTATTGATTTAACCCAGCAACACCCCACAACAGCTGAGAGGGCTTTTGGAAATGTTTAAATAATCAAGTTAATCAAGTGTGTTAATGCATATAATGTTATCAGTTGTGTTCCCTATAATCGGGAAATTTAGTTTTTATTGTTTTATTTTTTTTTACAATTTTGTACCTTGCCTTGAATAAATAAAACAAAATATTTATCCCAGGTACAATGTTTTGAGGGAGGATTACTCTATAGACTTAAATGATCAAATAATTATGTATATGTTTGGGGGAAAAAATATTCTAAATGTATTAAATTGACCTCTTTCTGGGATGGTTTTCGTCATCCATGTTTTCACTCGGAAGGGACAGGAAGCACCAGGAAACATGATTTTTTTTTTAGCTATAAATTTGTCGAAGTTGTTTACTAGCAAGTGGAAAAAAACCTGCATTAATACCTTTGATTTTTTTATCTGTGAGTAGACAATGACAATGATAAACTTGGGGCCAAATGGGTTAAGATGGTTCATGATACAAAAACCAATGTTTTTGTAAACTTCAAAATAAAGGAATAAAGTTGCATTTCTGTTCATTAGTGGTAAGTTTGTATTGTTTCAAAATGCATACTACAAACCTCAAAAACGTCTTTCTGTTTATGATCAACAGATAGGATACACTTTTGTAGACATTCTATTATACCATAATATAATATACAATAGCAAAATATGTAATAAATATATATTTTCTATATTATAAGATATATTTATATATATTTTTTCAAACAGTGAGATACCAGCCCACTGATCACTCTACTTGGTAAAAGTTCAAGACCACACAGAATCATTGAAGATCCAGTCCATCCTCCTGACATTTGCACCTGCTCCGTCAGCAGTTCTCAGGATCAGGAGAGAGAGAGAGAGTGAGAGACTACCTGAGTGGAGAGACGTGGGGGAAATCAACAAGCAGATGTTTCTAATGAACTTGAAGGCTTTGAGTGTTCACAAGGGATTTGGGTTATTCCGGTAGACCACTAACCAATCCGATCTCATGTTTGATCAGAGACAGAGGAAGGTGATAAATGCAATAAAAAGGGTGGGGCAAGCACAGATGTGACACATGAGGTCCAATCAGAGCTTCCTCCTAAATCGTCCAAATTTTGGTTGAGTGCAAAAACAATGGGGTTCACCAAAAAATAGTAAAGATTGTTCCTTGAATAAAGAAATTGTATATTATGTAAATTTACCACACAAAACGAAAACATGTCATGGAATAAAACAATCTGTCTTCAAATATTGTCTTCAGCAGCCAAAGAAACTTCCCTGTTCATTGTGGTGTGTACAAGTTGTTGGGGAAAAAAATCACAAGAACCAAGAGCACTTGGTTTGGTGCAGTGGTGAGAGAGAGAGAGACACAATTTGGTGAAAGCACAGAGTAAACACTGAGGTGTGGTTCTTTGTCAAAGCAGAAATTCACAAGCAGATGGTTACAGTGTAATTTAATGTAATATATGTAAATTAAATGATAGTAATTTTTATGTTATAATGTAATTTTTATACATCACGAAATGTCAATGAGTTTAGGAAAACATGTATAATGTGCAATGATATGAATAGAACTCACTTATAAACTATTTTTATTCCATTAATACATTATCAAATCACTTTTAACGTATAAACAACACCAACACACTGCTAAGTTGGCACACAGGTGGCACAGCTTGAGATATGTTTTTGTTAAAAACAAGATCAGAAATGCAATCAAAGAGGAGAGCTCCACCAATCAGAACACAGTGTCTGTGGCAACAGCAGCTTCAGATTGAGCTCCTATTGGTTGGATGTATGGTACAGGAAAGCATGTGATTGGTCGGCTGTGTGTTGAGGCTTCATTGCCTCCATGGCAACATTGCTTCCTTATTGCATAGAGAATGTGAAAAGGAGGGGAAAAGAGGAGGCGACTCTCGCCCAGACACCCTGCATTATTCATCCTTTGTCCCTCGAGCGCGTGTAGAGCTCTATATGCTCTGACTGACGCGCATGTGTTAGACTCAGAGCATCACTGTTGGTCTAGGCAAGGAGTGATAATGATTGGTTGGGACCAAAGGGTGACTGGGGTGAAACTCTTGCAATACTTTCTCCTAACAGTGCAACGCGTCCAGCAACATGGATCTATATAAAGCTGCTCAGAAGGTCCATGAGTTTTTCCAGGAGCCAGGTTCACCTCGGTTACACTAGGCTCTTAATCCGCACTGGCTATAACGTAAGCACACCTCAGAGCGTTAACCCGACCACGCTGGTACCGGTACTTGCAGCGCGCATCTGGGAGCAACAGCCTCTCCACATTGCATCACCCCCATGCGCATGTTTCTCCATCCCCAAACATCTCAGTGAACACACACGACTCCAGCACCACCCACAAGGTCCACAAACAACAACACACCACGCGGCGTGTTTGTTGTTGTTTTGCCTGTTTTTTTCCTTTTTTCCGTCAGAGGAGGGAGGGGTCAATGAACGGGTGGGGCTGGCAGCAGTGAGAAAAACATCATGCAGGGATTAGGGGAGGGGGATACAGCCACGGACTCCTCCCCCGCCCGAGTGATGAAGCTGGGATAGCGGCTGCTGACAGTGAGCTGTATGGTTGGGTGGCTGTTCCTCAGGCGGACAACACGATGACGAGATGGCAACAGGCACTTCCGCGTAGCACGTGCTCTCAGTTACCATCGCAACCCGGCCTTGGATACAGCATGCTGGTTGGCCCGTGTCGACTGTTGTTGTTGTGCACGGCGGCTGATGAAACCTCGTGGGTGAGGGAGGGCATGGGTGCCAAGGCATGCTGCCGGTTTCCCTGCCCCGGTTAAAAGTGTTGCTGGGCACATCTGAGGTCAACTCAAATAGATACAGTTAAGCCAAACAGATACTTTTAATTACAGACAAAGAGGGATGAGCTGTTGATCCCCAACTATCTGAGAATAGAAAGAAGACGAGACATTTAAAAAGATTAACCTCATTAACGTAAGACTGGACAAGTTGGCAAAAACGCTCATTTATTACCATTTCGTTAAAAAAATAAAACTAAATGAATTCAAATGATTCTTACGAAAGGTTGTGCTAAATGAGCGGTTCTCAAACTATACCAAAATCTGTGTGAAATCAACTTGCAACTCCACAGCTGAATGCTTTTTAAAGCCATAATATTTTGAAGCAGTAGTCTTATTTTTTTGTCATTTATTGTGTTGTATGACTCAATTTCGAGTTAGAGCGAACACTTTTTAACTTTTGAGCGTCCTCCGAATCCCTGATTAATTTGGTTCTTAACATTAATCAAACAGAACAAAAAAATAACAAACTGAACAAAACTATCATTCACTTTTAATTAGTCAATGAAAAGGAGAGTGGCAAAGTCAGTCAAAAATCTCTATGCAGACTATACACAAAAGCTTAAATCTGAATTGGAGTTTACTAAACGTGCTGTAGTAATGCAGAAAAGTTCCGACTCATTTGCAGCTGTGGTCCAGTCAAATCATTCCATATCAATACAAATGTGTAAACTACTGTAGAAAACCAGCCCCAGTATCTTTATCATCATCCCACATTTATTCTCTACTGTATTGGCAGTCATAGTGATTTATTGACTAATGCCGACATTATGTGACTCACTATATTATTCTTGTTAGGAAACACCAAGACTAGAACTAGGCGAAAATGAATCACACTTTTCTCCCTCAACTCACCTTTGTTTACAATTCGATTTTTATTTGAACGTTCTATTACTGGTATGACAAACAAATGTTTATGTCCAAACCTATAACAACATAATGTTTAAATCTCTGTAACAGAAATGAACAGTCAACAGTCTATTGACATCTCAATAATCACAACAAACAAAAGTTGAGATTGGGATCGAGTGATCTTAAAAAACCCTTCCATCAACCAATCAGATAAACGGCTAGAGAGGCCTACAGATTTTGGTTAATTACATGTTCAGCCATAACGCAATTAAAGTGAAGGCAAATTCAACCACAAATGAGTCCATTCTGAAAATGTAGACACACATTCATTATCACCACAAGACAATGTAAAGAACAAGTGCATAAACACGATCAGGAATGAAAGACTGGAAAGGTAAAATGCTATTTACAATGATATTTTTCTAACTTTAAGTATATACAGTAGAAGCGATAATTCATAGGGAACAACAATGTAAGCAACAAGATGCGATTTGGACTTTCCAGTAGAGAACAAAGGCTAATGTCTGTGTGTCTGTGTGTGTGTCATGTGGTGTTGTGTTCGGCTGAATCGATAATGCTTTCTGCTGAATGTGCAGGTTGGCCCTTGATGAAATTCTGGACAAATAAACATTCAGCTCAGGGCGTAAGAGCAGCCTACACTTTCTCTGCTTTACCGGTGCAGATGTTGTCATGCACCACAAGAGGCCGGCTGACAGCGTGATTGATTACGAGTGTGGCCGTGCTTTGTTTCACCACCGGTGCAAGTGCCACAAAGGAGCGACTGTATGCATTTGTGTGTGCAAGGTGAGTGCTAGGACAAAGCGATAGTGGTGTGGCGAATGGAAAAAACGGGGGGATCAAGTGCAGGAAAGGAAGATTGTTTAAATACGAAATGTGCGCCCCTTGCAACCCGAAAGAATAACCCACCAAAGCAGGTTTATCACAGTCGAGGGGTACGTCACATCGTTCTTTACTGGCCGGCTTCGATCTCCTGGAGTCGTTGCGCCATGGACATCACCATCAGTTTCATCTGGAGGAGGCAAAGTGTACGCCGTTAATGGCATGGTTTCGTATTGCGAGGAGAAAGCAGGCAGGGCATTTTAAAGAGATTTCAATTAGGATCTGATCAACAATGGACAGAAGCAGGAAGCAGAGGAAAGGAGAGATGGAGTGAAAGAGGAGGAGGGGGATGAGATAATTGGAAAACTGGAGAAATGGAAGAATGACAGACTCCAGGGGAAAGTGGTCAGGGTCGAATGGATGCAGTGGAGAGAGAGGGAAAAAGAGACAGAGAAAAAAGACAGTGGCAGGCCAGGGAGTGTACCAGAACAGATTGAGACGAAAAAAACCAAACAAGTGTCTACAAGTCAGTCAGACAGAAGACATTAAAAAGAAAACCCACAAGAGGATTGTGACATTAAAAAAAATACACATGAGATGAGGGCATGGACATACATGAATAAAGCCTGTCTGGAAATGTAAACCTCTCTGCAGAATTATATCAGATTTCTGGTGAAAAAGGATAAAATAAAGATAGAGCCCAATTAATGGCCACTATTCAATGTATATTATGATATTATTATTAAACTCATAGGGTCCATAGAACAGTAAAAATACAGGACAGGGAGCAAAAATATCAGACTTTTAAGTATAGACTGAGGCGCCAGTGAGTCCACATACTGTAAACGTAATGCACTGAGCTTAGTGCCGGATCAATCAAAGTCATCTTTACATTGTTCTTTGAGTCTTTGAGCCTGCACTCGCAGCTGTACTTGATGCTGCATATGTAGCGCCGCAGGACCGGTGGGAACACCCACATTCACAAACAGTTGGTCTTGCGCTGCTCCAAGGTGGGACCCCAAGCATTACCAGTCTGGGCATGCTGCTCTTTTTAAATGTGTCTCAATAGTGTACATAAAGTACAAAATGCTTTAAAAGTCTAATCTTAAGTGCAGTAGATATTTGTTAAAAAAGGAGCTGGTTGTGATATTAGTTTTTCTTTAACATTTCTCAATGATTATCAATCACAACTCCCACAGATATTCAATATTTTATTTACTGATATTAATCAATCGATAAAAAAGAGCCTTGTGGTGGCTGCTACCTTGCAGAATCATCTTCAGGTGAAACTTGTAAAAAAGTTGACTTAGTTTTGAAATTTGTAATGTGAAACCAATAAATGGCTTTAGTGAGTGTAGCCATTTATTGGTTTCATATTACAAATGTGCAAAGTTACATTTGTGTTATCATTTTGATGATTACGCCTTAAAGTATAAAATATTCAAATTTTCTGAGATGTTTAATTTAATCTATTTATTTATCCATCTACCTATGCATGCATTACATAATTATTGTTATACATATATAAATAATTATCAACAAAACAAATACAGGCTATATCACACTACACTGCGTGTAAGGAGTCTGCCATATATTAGTTTCACATTGTAAGTTGAATTGCAGAAGTAAACATACTTTTGAACAATATTCTAATTTTCCATGTTTCAGCTGTAAATTTATTTAACTTTACTGTGCACATTAAATGACACCTACATTTATTTATCAGTTACAGTCATCATATCTATTCTAAATATAAAAAAGAAATAACACATAATTATCAACCTCAAACATAAACAAAAAGCTCGGTAGATCTACGGCGGGGGTCGATCACCCATTGATCTGAACCAGTTCTTGCAGCAGCATTGAAGGACGGGACAAATGCAGAAGACACATTTTGGAGACAATAGTTAAGCCAAGGTTTTTGCTTTTTTCCGACAATCAAGAACTTCAGATGAAAGCTGCAACAGGTAAGTCCAAGAGCAGCATTTACAAAATACAAAAACCAAAATATGATTTACCAACACATTCCTAGAGAGGCGAACATGCATTGACAACAATGCTTTTAAAAGATATTGTCCTGGGACGGTTATCAAACTCAAGAGAGATTAAGAGATGAATAAGCTAGAGTGGGTCCCTTTACGTCTTCCCAGAACAGTACAACCAGGCCATTAAAAAACGTGCTCTGCCTGCTTCAGTATCAAAGCATTCCCAGATTAAATTTGTCTAAATAAATTGCGTTATAAAAGCAGCCATAATGTTTTCAATTCAGCGAACGTCCAGGAGAGGAAGGTGAACTGAGTAGGGCACACTTGCCGCCAAGGCCATTCGCAATAACTCATTGTAACAGTCCATCTCGCCAAGACTTTCCAGGCACGCCCGCTATTGATCTTTCTAAATTTAATGCTTTCGTCCTTGGCCTGTGCATCACCCTCATATGAAGTTTCATGAATATCAGTTCTGTCATTTGTAATATTTATTGTACAAAAAGACAAACAGGAAAGGACAATTTAAGTCTCAGCATACTGGGATGTTTGCTTGATTTGTTTGTTTAAGTTCAAGCTTATGTAAGACACAAAATAGGAGCCGTTGAACAAGTTTTCTCCAGGTCTCGGTAGTTTGCGGTGGCAAATGCTGTGATAAGAATCAATTGGAATTCCTATGCAAGTCTAATGCCTTTCATCTAATCATCTCGTAAGAAGGTCCATGAAATAAATCAACTAGAATGTTTTCACTCAAGGCAGTTTAATCTACGGTGTGCGTCCAAAGGGAGTAAACAGAATCAATGAAGGATTTAAGTAACAGCAGCCTACACAATACAATCAAATAATATGGCAGCGTCTGTTCACTTCGCATAATGCTTTTAGGCTTTGGATGGAAGTTGTTGTATCGTAAAGACAATTTAAAAAATCCATTGTTTGTTTCTGATGTGTGCAGATGATTAAAAATAAGAAGAACTTTTTACCTAGTGACCAGGCTATTTCAGAATATTTTTCAGAGTCCTGGCCCCAGATACAAGGAGAACATGCAAACTCTACTGCAAAAGCCTCTGTGTTGACCGTGACTTTCATTTATGATGGGTTATATACACTGTAGTAGAGTAGAAAATAATTTATAATCCAAATATCCATAATTGGATTAAAAATGCACAGCAATATTCAAGTTAGCAAGTGCAGTTTACTTTAAAATCAGATACTTTCGAATTTGCATAGATCCTTATAAACTTTATTTCATTATTTGCAACACAAAAGCACCATAGGTAGCTATAGATACAGGTAGATCACGCACAAAGTACGTGTGAAAAAATAATAGGCATGAAATTCAGAAAAAAACTGAGACAAGACTGTTTTATAACTTCTTTTTTTGAAATCTTGTTTGAACCAGGAACAAATAATGACATGTTCAAACACACCAAGTACAAAAAGAAGCCTGTGCAACATGATGTTATGTAATCTACTTTGCATATTGTTTCACAAACCTAACCACATGTCCGAGAATCTTTTATATAAATACCAACTCATGTTTGGCTTGATAATGATAGGGTTGATGCACAATGAAAACACAGCTCGACAAAGACGAAAAGATGAGTTACTTTGCTTATGAAATTCTTTAACAAATTAGGAGGCAAAAATAAACCATACAATTATCAAACTTGTACTTGAAAATCGAAAAAGTACTTGCGTTGAAGTATGCCAAGTAATGCAAGGTAACTGGGTGATTTTGGCACGACCAGCCCTGACCTGATTGCATTGCAGATGAACTTGATAAGAGCAGAAATAAAACAAATAAAATGAACCCGGTCTCATTGTGGCTCTGTATTATCCTTGCATACAGAATAATACAGATGTCCTGTCGCCTTTACAGGACACAACTTTGTGGTGGCCCATTAGAGCTGCAGACAGGGTCAGACAACATTCCATCCCTGTTCCCCGTTCTCTGTGTCCGGTCATACAACCTGTACACCATGTGTTTATCGTGCGAGCTCAGTATTTATGTTTAATTTATTCAAGAAAGCAGTGGTTTCCAAACATTTTTGCCCTGGGTACCCCCTCGCCTGAGTGGTCAGGGCTCAAATATTTCCTGTAAGGGGCGCCCCTCTAAACTACAGGGCATATTTGAGCAATATTTTTCATACAACAAGAGTCAAACTCATTGTGCTCGCAGCCACAACTGTTTCTAAGCTTTTCTGTTAAATGTATGCCTCCATAATTCTTTTTAATGGAAAGTTTGTTTATGTATCTGGTTAACACTTTTGTTTAATTAGTATCTAGTTTCTATTTTAATTTTTTACACTTGAACCAAAACTGGACTAAAAGTAATAATTTCAGACTGATAGACCATGTATTACTATGAATTGCACCACGTGTTCAATTTTTATTAATAAATAAATAATGCAGCTGTTTTCTTGAGAGATCTTCAGAGAAATAGCTTTAAAAAATTAGGTACAGCATTGAATGGTAGCTTGTTTAAATCTCTATCAAAGTTTACTAGTTAAAAATACTTGAAAAACCAGATGGGGCTTGTACCTCGGGTTGGGAAACACAATAGTTGTGCATGTGCATGATTTATTGACTAGAAGTAATAAGCTTCACGTCTTAATATAACTAGGCAGTTTGTTGAGCTAGTAATAATATTTCAACTGTCAAAAGTCACAAGCACATTATGGCAAGCAGATTATGATTTTCATGTTTCAGAATGTGACAAGCAGCAATCATTAAATTAACACACAACGCTTTTCACATCAGATGAGTCACCGATTAAAAAAATGGCATACACAGGGTAAATGATGGGAAATATTTGCTTATATTGCGTTTGTACAATTCTCCAAATCTGCCCCTTTCAATGCGAGAACTAGGATTTTCTACTTCCGGCTGGATCATCAAGTCTATTGGTCCTCCCAATTGTCAATCATTCTGATGATACATTCTTCTATCACCAGAGAGTTTTGTTTAAAAAGTAGAGAGGACGGTTCTTTCATAAAAGTTTTGAAATTCCTCCTATAGCTCTTTAAATATCAATTGTTTTAAATTGATTTTGATTTAATAAAGTCTCTGGTATAATTTGGCTGACCCACATCCATTACAGTATATTCTAATTAGTACCACTCAATACTTGTTTGTGCTTCGACCAGTTTACGCTGACTCAAGAAGGGAGAGGGGCTACGTGGTTTTAAACATTTCTTTTAAATTATGTCTTAACACGTTCTTGTGTTTATTAACGCACAATAAAAGCAAGAATGGAAGACAATACACAAAGAGTTTTTGCTTGATTGATTGACAGTTGGCTCTTTGTCATTACTAATCTTCACTTGGTATTAGCATAGAACTAGTACTTGATAAACCACATATGGAAACCTCAGCGTTACAATAGATATACATTGGTGTTGGATACTGATATTGTAATATTTTTTGGTAACACTTTATAATACTGATTATATCTCATTTATAAATGTTAAGTAATCATAGACTACTAAGTAATGAAACATTAACAAATGTCTTATTTAATCATTGTTCATTAGCTGGAAACAGCTAATGAACAATGAGCAAAGCTCATTAGCTTAGCTATGAGTAGTAAATGTGAATTTAAATATTATTAAATGATTTAACTATCATTAGGTGTTTATTATATATTAATTCGTAATTGAGTTGTTAACAATTAGGTCATGAGTAGCACATGGGTATAATAATGTTTTCATGAGAATAATCAACATTTGATAATTAACTAATCACAATTAGGAAATCATGTTTAAATAATTTATGAATGATTATGAACACATAAATAAAACATGTCTTAAATGATTACAAGATTATTTATTCATTAGTAAGTCATAATTTCCTAAAGAGTTACAAATATCATTTGTTAATGAGTTGTTAATGTTTAGATTATTATTTGTTAATATAATTACAACATTTGTTAATGTTTCATTACTTAGTAGTCAATGATTACTTAACATTTATAAATGAGTTATAATCAAACAGTATTATAAAGTGTTACCTATTTTTTCAGTCAGGATATGTGGTTCAATATCAGTTAAGCCAATATCTTGGGCTTTTAAATTAACGTGCACCATATTAACCCAGAACGTCATGTCACCTGTGGGATTGTTTTAATTAACTTAAAATCGCTGTGTTACAGTGGGGCAAAAAAGTATGTAGTCAGCCAACAATTGCACAAGTTTCCCCACTTAAAGATTAGTATAGGAAACTAAAATCTTTCTTAGGAAAGGAGGTTTGATAACATCTACTGTGAAAATTACAGTTAGAGGAACACAGTTCTATGGAAGCAGGCTAGAATAACAGCAGGAGGCCTGTTCATGAGTCATGTTAATTGTGATGCAAGAATACCCACAGTTAGGACTTTCAAATATACAGTTTATGGTTACAAAGCACTTAGTAGGGATTTAAGACACTTTGTTTTCCAATTCGTTGTGCTATGTGTGGGACAGGTAAATGATGAGCCATGACATCACTTTACATATTTGCATACAACATTATTAGCATAGACAAGACGCCACTTATCAAAACTGGTTTTCATTTTAGTAGAATTGTCACATCACCATCTTGGCATTATAGGCCAAGTTTGTCTTGATTGATTAACAATGTTATGTTCAGCCTTAAGTTAAACCTGAGGTAGTTAAATTCCATCTACCATAAATGGTAATAGAACTAAACTATAGTATCTTGACAACCACAACCAGGTGCACAAAGCACCATCACTATCACCACTTTATGGTGCTCACAAAATGTAGAAAAATAAAAACACTGAAATATAGATATTATAATGCTAAACAAACATACCTCTGACAAATGACAATATAAACCAGGAATAAACCAGGTCTAGACTTGTACCAAACAGAGAAATACAAATAAAAGTATTGAATAGAGTGATTGTAAAACATAATATCAATAACTTCTTTATCATATTGACAACATAAACTATACTGATTAAAACACAGTCAATAATTGTATATGCATTTTAAACCTAACATTTAGGCTAAATGAATGAATTAACAATAGTAGCCTTTCTGCCCTGTTTTCTCAGCTGAAAGCCTAACTCAAATGCCTATTATGTCACAATAAATAAAAGGCACATTGATGGTAAAGTGGTAGTGACACTGTATGATCAAAACATGTTTTTCTCTGAACAAAGATTCCTCAACAAACCCCCTCTCCTCTATTGTCCACGGTGCAAATGGCTGTTTATTATTGTGACTCACTCTCGCCTCCTACAGGCCAATCGGCGCTAATGGGATAACATCAGACAAAGAGCATGAGAAAGAAAACGTGGGAATTGTAGATTTTGCATTATGAATAGTAATACGATAGTAATAACAATAATCACCTTCCTTTCATACTTTCCTAATTAATATATATTATACAATTATTTGAAAAGAGGTTAATATAATGAGATTAATATAAAAAAATGTACATAATGGTATTGTTATGATCAAAGGAACAAATTATTTAACATATTTGCTAGAATGTTTTTTATCAGACTTGAACAAGGTGCGATGAGGTAATGTCTGATCTAAGAGTCTGCCGGTCAGAGCCGTGAGGTCTTACCAGAACAAAGCTGATGTCATTGTTTGTGTGCAACCTGTGAGCTTCTGTGAAAACCTGGACAGTCCGAGACGGCAATTAAGTATTACTTGAAAATATTTATACGACAGTTATTGTACATCTTTTTAGCAATAATCTCAATAATGGATGTTACCTGAGGATTGGATTTTGTTTTTTTATATTTTGTTTTATATTTGATATTATAAAAGCAGGTGTGGTTTATTTGAATGTTCTGTGAATGCAATGTAAAAATACTACTTTGTGGCCAAACCAAATAAGGAGAAGGAGACAAAGAAAAGAAAAGGTAATAATTCACCTCTGACAGCTGATGGTCCACAATGCCTCTGTACTCCAGCGTCACCGGCTGCTCACCAGAGCCCTCTGCTGACAACATCTGGTTTGCAGATCCCAGCACATAACTACAGAAAACATGAATGAAAACATGGAAAGAATATCACTGGGATTGTGTACATTTGTCATTCTAAAACAAGGAAAATGGTGATTAAGCAAAAAAACTGCACATAATCGCAAAAAAGCTCCACATGTCCGCTCAAATTTAGAATACAACATACACATCCATTTCCACAGTGCACAGTTAATGGGTCTAGTTAGTAATATTAATAATGATAACAACAGTAATCATAATACAATAGGCCCAGTTAAGGAAAAAGAAGTTGGAAGGGGATGCCAGTTGAAACCTTCTGGACAAGTAATTAGCATATCTCGATGATGATTGCAATTATTTAAGTCCATTGCATTGACAAGGATGGAAAAATATGACAAAAATTGGCTTGAATTTGATAGAATATATCTCGATTCAGTAAGTATGTCATGACTTAAATTAAGATTTGGCAATTTCACAAAAATCTTTAGCCAAATATTAAGTGTAGTAGAAGTAGTTTTGGTAGAAATAGTTTTTCCTTTTTCAAATGTTAAGAAAGCGGGCATTCAAACATCATGTTATATTTTGTACAGTTAAAGTTAAGTTCCTTTATTAATGAGCATACCTGTCGATGTCTGCAACATTGAGGCAGAAATGTAACCTTTTATGATCCAATACTTTTGGTGTAGACGAAAAAACCATTCCAATCACAGAGCGACATCCTTGACAGATAAGGTCCACAATCAGACTGCAAAGACAATAGACACATTTAAAAAGTTTGTTTCATTAATGAAGCAAAAAGGCAAGATACATTGATGAAACAAAGAGGGCTAGTGATACTGGATTACTGGATTTTGCTTTAGATTTAAGTAGTGTTAGTGAGAGCCAATGGAAGGTATAAAACACAATAAAGGCCATTGGTGAAGTATAAGAAAGAAATAGCAAACACAAACACATTTAACCAAACCTGAGCCTGGGGCAATACTTTACCATGAAGATCTTTTGTCAAGTTCAAACACGCGTTTTTCTTTTCCAATTACCACATTTTTTGTGACTTCTAGGATAAAAAAAAATGAAAACATTGTAATGCATGATGATTATGTAAAGCATACAGACCAAAAGTAAACAACACGAATCATAGCATCAAGAAAACACAATGGCACCTACTTTTTAATAGTATTTGACTATGGGAGTCTTCAACACCATCCCACGAGAAGGAGTCAGCGACAGGCAGCTTACATTTCCCGCAGATAAACACCACAGGACCGTCATCATGCTCAACGTCGTCTACGTCGAGCCCAAGTAACTTTTCTTCAATGACTGAAACGCTCGTACTTACGTCAAACGTCTCTTCTATAGATTTTATGGCCTGATGTTGAGTTATTTTATTTCTTGTCGCCATAATTCTGTCCAATGTAAGGTTCTGTCTATCCCACACTTTTTGAAACCAAAAAGTAGGCGGAGCGATTCGAAGATGTCATATGACACCTATTTCCGTTGTCACTTTTCACTTTTTATTTCTTTATTTCTTTTTATTTCTTCATAAATATAAATCTATTTATATTCATATTACATTCTGTTATGTACTGTGTTTTAATAGTTTATATTAATGTTATGCATGTTTGTATTGGTTTAATAAATCCGGGGTTTCATTTTTAGTTACTTTTCGCGGCATCTGATTGGGCGATAATCAGGAAGTGATTTGGGGCGGGAAGTTCACATCTCAGAAACCTCCCCCACGGATGTATCATAATATCGAGCTCTCCACGTTTGTTGTTTTTATTCTGCTGTAAATCCCTCTTGTGATACGTGTTGATTAGTTTATCGAAATGTGTGACAAGATGAAAAAGGTAATAGACATTTATGATGAGCTAGCAAAGCCTTGAGTTGATGCTTTGCTTTGGGTGATAGTGTTATTGTGTGTTTGTCAGGTGAACAGCTGGCTCAGTGCGGTGTTCGGGGATCAGCCAGTGCCACAGTTTGAAGTCAATACGCGGACAGTGGACGTGCTCTTTCAGCTGGCCCAGACCTCTGAGACCCGGTGCAGTCACACGGAGCTCCTCATTAAAGATCTCAATCAGAAAACCTCAGAATACCAGGCAGACTGTGAGTAATTTAATGTGTTAATTATGTTCATAATAAGAGTTATTTGTGTTCATCTCACAGTGGAGACATTTCAGTGTTGCATCACAGTAGGAATGAGGAGCTCACAACACAAGATATAACACAAGTATTGCACATATCTATACCTTGATGAAATAAAATAGAATTTGATGGACAAACATTAATTAATTTAGCACATGTCACACATTACTACAAGACATTTAACAAAATAGAGACTCAACTACTGTACAAGAAAAGGGCATCAATAAGCGTCAATACGCTTAGAGTCAATAGGCAAGGACATATAAGCATGGACAGGTAAACAAACTTAAAAGATGAGAGAACCTTTTATCTTTATTGCGACTTGTAGCAAAAAAGCTGTAACATGATTGTATAGAAAACGACCCTAAATGTATTTATCAAAGAACCTAAGGACGTTTCTCAAAACCGCAAGCACAAGCATACATTTTGAATTTGAACTCATTCTTTGCATAATTTGAAAATCTTTCAATATAGATAATGTGAGTAATCCTTAATACAACAAAAGAAGCCCACAAATGTATCCTCACAAGCTATTCATTTGCTCTCCGTAGCGTGACTTTCAGATGAATAGACAGCGAGACCTTTTGACCCAGCACACTGGATAAGGACAGGTGGACATGCATGCCTTCACCTTTAATCGGTTGAGCTTACAATACATTATTATTGTGAATCTTAATCTTAATAATGTACCATGAAATGTTTTATATTGCTCCTCTTCATGTTTTGCCCATTATGTCCTAGCTCCATTTGTCTGGAAAAGCAAAGATCTGAATTAATGAATATTTTTCCTGTCTTTAATCCTTAGGTGCACACTACCAGGACGTTCTCTTACAAGCTGTTGGCCTTTCCTGTGCGACACTCTCATCTGCTTCGACTGACTATCTATCTACTTTAGTGGACAGTGCAATAACTCTGGCAGTCAGGGACATCTCTATTGGAAAGTATGTATCCATCACAACATGAGACAGAATGATGTATGCAGCTGTATATTACATCTTCTTTCTATGTTTAGTTTTTTTCCAGCTGTGAATAATCTATCAGATGAACTGTTGGAGGCTGAGAAATCAAACAGACGTCTTGAACGGGAACTCAAGGCTCTGAGAAAAAATCTTGGTGCTACTTTGGTTCTTTGCGGAAACCTTCAGGAGTAGGTTAATTTTACTATGGTGATCAATTATAATATCACTTTAATCTAATCTAATCTATATCGTAGGGATATCAACAAAACCACAAAGGCCCAGGCTGTGGAGGGCGCTAAAGTAGAGGAGAGGTTGCTTAACATGGATTTTGTGACAACAAAGGCAAAAGAGCTCAGCCACAGAAGAGAGAAAGCAGAGGTATTTGTGAAGCATTATTATTAGTAAAACAATGACAACAAGCTCAATATTTTCTTGAAAGAGAATAAAAATGTTTATTGATAACGTGCCAACTTCTTTACCTAAAACAAACGTATATGCATTACATATTTTTACAGATTACAAGGTGAAAATGATTTGGTCTTGTAGCTGAAGTCTTGTTTTCTATGTCTTCTCAGTGTTGTGAAATAGTATCTGCTTCACTTTGAATCCTACAGGCGCAGCTTTTATCCAGGAACATGGACAAGTCTTTGACACACCAGGCCATAGTGCAGCTGTCACAGGTAAAACATTTGTACACTCTCCAATTCTGTACAATGCACTCATGCATCATTATTTACCTTTTCAGGAAGTAACTGCACTGAAACAAGAAATTGCTCCCTTGAAGAAGAAATTGGAGCCTTATATGGATTTGTGCCCAGTACGTTTTCACTTTGATACTGCCCTGTAGAAGTCATGGTGCTACTGTTGTTTCTAGGCCACTCTATTGTGTGGCAGTTGTTCGGGGTGTGCTTTGACATGAAACAGGCGATTTGATACATGTCCCGATACTAAACATGATGTCTCCCGATATGTCCTGATACTATAGGGTTTCTGTAAGTTGCCTCAGTATTGATAATTACTGTAGACCAAGTGCTTTGTGGGTACTTAGTAATAGTATTATGTGTTAAATGTGAACAGCAATATGGATCTGATAATCATTTCATTTCAAGCATTGATTTAAATTTGATGAAGCGTGTATGAAGTTACTGGCTTATGCAACACCTCAAATGTTTTATTTTATAAATTTGTCCACTTATGGGACCTATATGGGATTGGAATAGGGAAATATTGGTAATAGGTCTTGGACACCAGGGTCCTGCAATAAGTTCAATCACAATATATTAGATGTCCTGATGACATAACCTGATGTCCTCAATTTCTTTTCCATTTCCAACAGAACCCATCACTTGCACAAGTTAAAATCCTAGAAGCAAAAAGAGAGTTGGTGAGTATGAGACATTAAGGAAAAACCCTCTAGATCACCATTGTTTTGTTTTGTCTTGATTTCATTTACTTTATTTTTCATTTTAGGCATTGCTCGACTCCAAACCAGAAATGGACATGGAGTTTCAATGAAAGTATTGTTTTGTTCAATTTGTGAATGTAAAAAATAAAGCATTTTTATCTGTGGGCAGTTAAAGTTATTGTTGTCTACCTCCATTATTTTCAAAATGTGTATTTTGAAGTTAATTACATATTCATTCACCCTTTTCAAAATGTTTTTCAGGAAAAACTACAATTATTGGCTTTACATTGACAACAAAATGCCCCTAGCTTTTGTGGGATAAAGATGTGAGCGGTGCCTGGAGCTATATGGGCAGAGAAGGCTTGCATTAGGAGGCCCAGTGCTCTGTATGTTAATACTCACCCCATGTGAGCCCCCGGTGCGGGACCCCGACATCCGTGTTAGCTTGACTCTAGTGTGAGGAACATGCAGAGAGGCTGGTTACCATGGAGGAGGTGCAGGATTATGGGGACGAAATAAATAGACTTGATAGACATCTATTGAAGAAGAGTCTGATTGTATAAGTGGGCCTTTTTAAACAAAGTATTACCCTACAATCCATTTGGAAATATATTAGTGTTGCAAATGTACATATGTTTCACCCTTTTTTACATGTCTTATTGCTTTCATCCAGTTGCTTGCTGCACCTTTTCTGATTTCAATCTGTGTCCTGGGGTTGTGTGAACCACTTAACGTTTTTTTTAAAGGTGCTATACAACATTTAAAAAACATGTTTAATTATTTGAAACAACACTATCTTTTAGAACTGAGAGCTGACTGGCTAAGTGACGGACAGTGAATACTACTGATAGAACTCAATTGTTTTTGAGCTAGTAGTTACAGAGATGTCATCACACAGTAGTTTTATTTATTTTTATAGTAAGGTAAGTTTAGTTTATTTAGATTATACTTTAAGAATGAAGAGTTGTGCTTAATATTAACTTATCTTTTGTGGTGTGCTGCTCGTATGTACGTGTTCTTAAAGTCATGCAAGACTGAAAGTACCCTTTAATATTAGTTATTTGGTTTCAAAGTTATGAACTAAACTTTGTCTAATCACGATCATTTTACAACTAATCGAACATCTCAATCAGATTTCAAACTTTTCTATTGCTGATTTATTGCTCTTTTTTTTTTTTTAAATTATTGCTAATCCAAAACGTAAACACTGCAGGGGCTTCGGTGGCTTCAGTGCGTCATTCCCTCCTGTCTAAATAGTTTCACGTGCCACGCCCACTCCATAACGTCCTCTCAGCTGTTACTGTAAAATCGCCCTTTTGCCTCCTGGTGAGTGTTCTCCATTCACACTTTGTTATTATTATTATTATTCTGTCTTGATCAAGTTCCCGGATGAGCGCCTGGCGTCTCTGTCCGATCCAAAACAACTTGTTGCGCAGCTTCTATTTCAGTCTGGACCGTTCCTGCTGCAAACCACGAGATTTCCCCACTCACTCCAACTGCAGATGCAAAGACAGAATCGACAGCATTTTGTGTTTTGAAACGGAATGGGCCGGGCAAGAAACGTCACATGTTGTAATTCTGGAAAGATTTTGATGATATTTGTTGTTAAAGCTGAATGAATATGATCACGGATACCAGGAGAGATGCGCTGGACTTCACCCATAGACTTCTCTACCTGTGCTTACTCCTGTGGGTCAGGCGCATCAACGGGCTGGCGGACTTCTCAAGTAAGATTAGTTTTTTATGGAATGTATCAAGCATATGTCATCATTGTATAATGCCAATAATTAAAGCTGGGGAACTTAACTTGTTTGGTTTGAGAAAAAGGTATAATGTGAACAAATCTGACCACTCAAATGTCTATTAGAAAATATGTTATCTTACTTTCAATTCAATTCACTTACATTTAGTTTTGTATAGCCCTAAATCACAACAGTATAGTTATCTCGGAAAATTAATAGTTACCTATGTAACTTAAGTTCTACGAATAGGTGCGTAGTCCCTTAGCGGACTTCGCTAGTGGGATATCACGTGACCCCCAGGTCACAGACGCCAGAGAGATCAACAAAAAATGCTCCAATCACTAGCGACCCTCCTCTATAAAGGCCCCTGCTCCATAGCCGCGCCCCCTCTTGAACTCTGCCAAGCCGGGCTGGCCTGATGGGCTCGTAGCTAAGGGACTACGCACCTATTCGTAGAACTTAAGTTACATAGGTAATTAATAGTTACCTAATGTAACTTAAGTTCTACGAATAGGTGGGTAGTCCCTTAGCGGACTTCGCTAGTGGGATATCACGTGACCCCCAGGTCACAGACGCCAGAGAGATCAACAAAAAATGCTCCAATCACTAGCGACCCTCCTCTATAAAGGCCCCTGCTCCATAGCCGCGCCCCCTCTTGAACTCTGCCAAGCCGGGCTGGCCTGATGGGCTCGTAGCTAAGGGACTACGCATCTATTCGTATAACTTAAGTTACATTAGGTAACTATTAATTCTACGTCATGGTGCTACGTCCCTTAGCGGACTTCGCTAGTGGGACACAACGCGGAGGCCGTAGGAACATGTACTCCCAGCAGGCCAGCGAAGAGTGATTGGAGCTCCGCCCGAGCAAGACCCTCACAAAGTGAGAGGACTCAGGGCAGAAGAAGCAATTGCGTGTTACAGGGCCACTCCTCCCAAGGATACCCCCAAGTAACACAGACCGTAGGTCACCCGTAGTCCCAGGACGCCTCTCCCAAGAGCTCCTGACGTGGACTACCTGACTGACCAAAAGTACACATATACCGCACCTGCAGGACGCCTCTCCCAAGAGCTTCTGAACCAGGGCGGAAAGTCAACCGAAGGCCCCCTCAGAGGAGGAACCTAACGGTTTCAACTCAGTCCACTGCACTCAGCACGGAATGGGCCACCGACCGGTCCGACACATCCAAAAGGTAAGACCGGACGAAAAAAGAGGACGATGCCCAAGAAGCTGCACGGCACACGTCCTCGACCGACGCCCCCCTGAGGAGGGCCGTAGAGGCCGCCATCCCACGCGTGGAATGCAACCTGAAGCCCACCGGGGGGGCCAGACCCTGCGTCTGATACGCCCGCCGCACAGCCGTGGCGACCCAGTGCGCCAGCCGCTGAGCCGACAGCGGGGCGCCCCTGTTCTTGGGGCCCAGACACACAAACAGCTGATCAACCAACCTGAATGAAGACGTCATGGCCAGGTAATGCCTAAGCATTCTGACAGGACACAGAAGGTGCCGCCGCTCCTCCTCGGGGGAGGCATGCGGCGGCGGATGGAATGCCCTAATCCTGATCACTCTCGACCTGAAGGCCGACGTGATGACCTTAGGGAGAAAAGCCGGATTGGGCCACAACTCCACCAGGCCGTCGCCCTCTCCAAAGGACAGGCAAGACGCATGGACGGACAGCGCACACAAGTCGCCCGCCCTCTTAGCAGACGCCAACGCCAGCAAGAGGGCCGTCTTAAAAGCAACACACTCGGGACTCGCCTCCGCCACCGGTTCAAAATGCGGGCCCGACAGACCCCTAAGGACCACCCTGAGGTCCCAAACCGGGGGCGTTCTCTGAAGCGGGGGCCTCCTCCTGCGTGCCCCCCGCAGAAAACGTTTGACCAACGGATGAGAGCGGGCTGTGAACCCCCCGAAACCGTCGTGACCCGAGGTAATGGCTGCCGCGAACACCGCCAAGGTGGCGACAGCCCTCCCCTTGTCAAAAAGTTCCTGTAGGAATCCCAGGACACCCTCCAGCAGGCAACGCCTGGGATCCCAGGAGCGAGAACCGCACCAGTCGCTGAAGAGCCTCCATCTCGTGGCGTAGGCCCTGACAGTGGACGGCGCCCTTGCCCCCTGAATGGTCTCCACCACCGCCGGGGGAAGACCCAGGTCTACGAGGTTCCGCCTCTCAGCCTCCAAACCCAGAGCCTGCGGCCGATTATCGGGCGTGAAAACAGGCCCCCCCCCCCCCTGGACTAGAGCCCCCGGCTCGTCCGGGAGGGCCCAGGGCTCCATCACCGCCATGCCCCTCAGGAAGGGGAACCACCGGGCATGTGGACTGTCCGGAGCCACCAGGATCACCGACCTCCTCTCCTGTTCGATCCTCCGCAGCAGGACCGGCAAGAGACGCACTGGTGGGAAGGCATACAGCAGGCCCTCTGGCCAGGGGTAATGAGCCAGAGCGTCCACGCCTAAGGGCGGCTCGTCCGCGGCCCTTAAGGCGAACCAGGACGGGCACTGTGCGTTCTCTGCACTGGCGAAAAGGTCGACCACTGGACGACCGAACCTCCGCCAGACCTCCGCAGCTACCCGTGGGGCCAGGCCCCACTCGTCCTGGAGTGGGCCCCCCCTGGACATCCTGTCGGCCCCCACGTTCCGGACACCCGGGACGTGGCGCGCCCTCAGAGACAGAAGGTGAAGCGCCGCCCACAGCAGCGTCACCGTCGCCATGCGATGGAGGGCGGGGGACCTGGTGCCCCCCTGCCTGTTCAGATAAGAGACCACTGTGGTGTTGTCTGAGCGAACCATCACGTGTCTCCCCTGCAGCTGAGGAGCAAAGTGCAGCAGTACCCTGTGTACTGCCTCCATCTCCAGAAGGTTGATGTGGCGGGCTGAGTCCGACCAGCAGCCTCCTACAGAGCTCTGGCCGAGGACCCCGCCCCAACCCTCGAGTGACGCGTCCGTGAACACCTCCACGTGAGACACGGCGCAGGCCAGAGTCACTCCGTCCCTCAATAGACCCGGAGTGAGCCAAAACCTGATGTCCGATGCTGCCACTTGGGGAACCCAGATAAGCCTCCCCCCGTCCCGGGAGGGGTGAAGCCTGAGGTGTGAGAACCACCTCTGAAAATTCCTCATGTGGAGAAGGCCTAGCCGCACCACAGCATGAGCCGCCGCCATCATCCCCAGCAGGGACCTGAGGCGCCGAGCAGGGACCCTGGGGCCCGCCAGAACCTCCCTGGCCAGACGGGTAATGTTCCTCCGTCTGTCCTCGGACAATGCTGCACGGAATGTCACAGAGTCTAGCTGCAGGCCGAGATAGATCATGCGCTGAGCCGGCTGCAGCCTGCTTTTCTCCCTGTTCACCACAAAGCCCAGGCGCTGTATGTGGGACAGGACCCAGTGCGTGTGACTCACGGCCACTTCCCTGGATGAGGCCAGTATTAACCAATCGTCTATGTAGGTTAATATTCTTACCCCTGCGCGTCTGAGCGGCTCCAGTGCCGCCTCCACGCACTTTGAGAAGGTCCGAGGTGCGAGCGCGTAGCCGAAGGGGAGACGGCAGTACTTGTAACTCCTCTCTCCCACTGCGAAGCGCAGGAACCTCCTGTGTTCCAGAACTATCGGCACGTGAAAGTAAGCGTCTGTCAGGTCTATAGAGGACATCCAATCTCCCTGCCTGACACACTCGAGGAGCTGTTTTGTGGACAGCATCCGAAACTGCCGTTTGGAAATGCACTCGTTCAAAGTGCGCAGATCCAGAATGGGACGCACCCCTCCTGACTTCTTTGGCACTAAGAAGTAAGGGGAGTAGAGCCCCCTGGTGGCGTCCTGTGGGTCCACCTCTACTGCTGCGCCTCGACTTAGCAGAGAGGAGACCTCCGCTTGTAGTGCCACTAGCGATCCCCGTACCTGAGAGCGTGCTGCCCGCACGCCCCAGAACGGCGGTGGCTTTTGGGAGAATTGCAGTGCGTAACCCCTGCGCAATGTCTTCTCCAGCCACGGATCCGTCAGTAAGCCCTGCTCCCTCCAGATGCTGTAGAAGTCTGTGAGGGGCGGAACGGGAGCTGGAACACGAGACGTCACAGCCCCGCCCTCTCCTGGTGTTCCTAGCAGGAAGGGGGGGGTGGACGAAAGGGCAGGGGGGCTCCCTGCGTCATACCGCGTGCGCCGGGGGCGGTCACGTGTCCTGCAGGCCCGACGTCATAAGTACGGGCCTGCTCATGCCATATGACTCGACTGCTCCGCCCCCCCCTGGCTCTAGCCTCATGGAGGGGGGCGGAACGCTCTCTGCCTCTGTCCTGGCTCCGTGATGGCTGGTGGGCCTCGCGGCTAGGTGCGGGGCTAGCCTAGCCGAGTCGTTGGCTGCAGACTCCAGTCTCGCCACCAGGGCCTGCATGTCCGGGCCGAAGAGGGACGTCTGGGAGACGGGCAGGTCCAGCAGCTGCCTCTTCTCCGCCTCCCTGATATTAGCCAGCCCAAGCCAAAGGTGCCTGGCCCCGACTTGGGCTGCAACCATGGAGCGGCCACCATCCACGGCCAACGCCTGGCACATGCGCAGGATCGCCACGGAGGTGGTCCTAGCCTCTGACAGGAGGTCTCCACTGAGCGCCTGGCCAGAGGAGAGCGACCTATCCAGGGCCCCCGTGATGAACGCCATGTTGTTAGCCAATGCGACGACCTGAGCCGCATTGGCATAACATCTATCCAGCATCGCCAAAGACATCCTGTCCCGCTCGGAGGGAAGGAGAGGTCTGGTGCCGGGCCACACGGATGCGGAGGGCTGCAGGGCCATGCGGACTGAGTCCTCTATGTCCGGGACACCACCGGTCCAGGACCAGTCCTGCACGCTGCAATACAGGCCGTACCCCAGAGCAGGCCTCTTGGCTGCTAGGGGCTTTGGCCACTCACGTGTCGCGTAATGGACGATCGGGTCCATCCGCGGGCACAACGTGGGTTCTTTCCTCCTCCTCCCTCGAGTGGTGGCGCCCACAGAGGTGAAGTCCTCCACCCTCTGGATCGGCTGCGGTGGTAGAGGAGCATCCATGATGGCCGCCGCGGAGGAGTAGAGCCCAGGCATGTGGTCCAGCGGAAAGCGGTCCGGCTCCGGGTTCGACACCACCTCGTCCAGCGTGAGGAGAGAGCCGTTCTCCGAAGCCTCTCCAACCTCGCAGTCACCCCATTCCGCGGGCACGGGCGGAAGGTCGAGTGGGGCCCAGTCAATCTCAGACTCCTCGTCCTGAGAGGAGTCCGGACGGGGCGCTGCAGCGGCAAAGAACGCTGGGGAGAGCGAGACATGAGGCGCAGCTAGCGCTCAACGCCGCATGGCCCGGACCCAGGCACATGAAACAGCTGGCATGCTGGCTGGAGCCTGACCCGACACGCAGAGCAGCGACGACGTCCGACGCCGGAGGGCGAAGGGGAACTCGGACGAATAATGGAAGACATCTCAGAATGAAGTAAGTACTATGGTAGATCTCAATCGGCGCCAGAGTGAAAGAGGGGGCGCGTCTATGGAGCAGGGGCCTTTATAGAGGAGGGTCGCTAGTGATTGGAGCATTTTTTGTTGATCTCTCTGGCGTCTGTGACCTGGGGGTCACGTGATATCCCACTAGCGAAGTCCGCTAAGGGACGTAGCACCATGACGTAGAACGTATTGTCGACTCAACAACACAGACCAGAGAATCAAATATACTGGAAAGCAAGAGCATTGTTAGTCACATTTGTTGCATTGGGCTGAGAGCTGATTGACTAGGTTCCTATTTTTTTTCACTTTTTGTGTACTTGTCAACAGATTTGGTGCACACACTGGGCTAGTCTCTGGCACAGTTATTCCAATGTGGTTTTACTAAAAATGGGAAATAAACTGAATCAGAATCTGATTTCTTCAAAGTGAAATATTCCATTTCTTCTATTACAAAATATAGCTAAATACATGTTACCAGACAAATCAATTTTATGGTTTTTAGTTTTGGAAGTGTAATTACTTGACGTTTGTACATTTTTGGTCTTCAGAATTTTGTGACTTTTTCTGTCTCTGCATGTCGTTTATTTTTGTGTCATTATTTTTATGACATTTTCTTTTACTTTTGAAACAGTTCTACCTTTACCTCCCAGAGTAGAGCCAGTACTTGTTACCTTGATAAAGTTCACTTGCTACAAGTTAGCATTTGGTAGCCTTTTAACAAACTGTTTTTTGCTGTATTTCAAGTTAGCACTTTGTAAGTAAAGATGAAAAAAACAAACTAAATGTTGGGGCAATTTTTCAGAATTCCACTGGTTTGAATGAGAACAGTCAAAATGACGTCTCTGGGAGTTCTGGTGTTAAACTTGAATTTGGATTTTAGAATCAGATTCAGATTAGATTTATTTGCCATTTACAGTAAAACCCTATTGGAATACATTTTCTAAAGTCCACAGTGTGTACCAGACAAGAACATGAATAAAAGGTATAAAGTACAGCAATAAAACAAACTAAAAAAGTGCAGGAAACAACTGTCACTGTTTCAATACAAGTGCAAGATCATTAAAGCGCTGATTAGTGCATAAACACGCGTGTCTCTTTCAGACTACCTGTCCCGGATCATCAGCAGCCACTCGGCCCAGGCCTGTGACGGTCAGCCCCTGCGCCTCCACTGCCCCAGACACTCCACCATCTCCATCCAGTCGGCTTTCTACGGCAGCGGAGAGCCGCGCCTGTGCCAAAAACCTCACCCAGAACCTTCTCACTCACACCCAAACCACAGCTGCTCTGCTTTCACCGCTTTACAGGTGCACTTTATGGACACAAAAAGTAATTTTTTTTGTCGTTTCAGTATAATGAGAGGGGATTAAAGAGCTATTACCAAAGTTAAAGGAGAAAGACCTTGACTTTTTTTCTTGTAAATAATCTTTGTGGTTTGTCCCAACACAAAGAGTCTTGGAAAAGTAAAATATTGTGAACAAATCAGACTCAAACATGTTGATCAAAGGCATTCCTCTCTTTTTTTCAATTCTCTGATCTACATGTGCCAGAAGTCAAAAATACATCCATGTGAAAACTGTGTTATAGAACCAAATTGTTTTAGAGTGAGGAACACTAGTGACATGGATTTAACCTACTAAATATGTGAATTGAAAGTTAGTTACCGCAGATTGATCCCTCATTGACTGTGATGTAAGCTTTGGTTTTGTGTATATAGGACACAAATGTGCACAATGTTTTTATAACGGCCTATTTATAATCAGGCAAGGCACAGTTGTCCTGGAAAAGTGCCATTTTGTTCAACTATTCTTATACACAGAGCAGCTACTCAGACCCACTCCTGTATTGGATCCAGCTCTTTTGCATCTGAATGTATTCTTGGTTAACTAAACTGCTCTGTGCATAGACATAAAAGTAGTACGTGATTGGTCTTCATGAATAGAACGAGACAACAGCACTTTGAAATTGGACTTCTATTTCTAAAAAGCCAAGCTCCCAAATCCAGCCAGCATCTTCTTAGCTGGTCCGTAGTAAAAATAGTAAAAATGATTTATGGCTCAAGTTGAATTGCTTTTTTTTTTTGGCAAGTTCATAAAAGTACACAGGCCTTTCACTCCATATTTCTTTCCTGAATTGTTTATGATTGGTGCCATCCCCTCTGCAGTCCAGTCAAAAACTGATTTTTTATAAACTTCACTCCAGTGACCAATCAATTTAGTTTCCCTTTTATAACTGTCACTGTCAGATATTATATTACATAAAAAATATTGTTGTTTTTTATTTATAGAATAATTCATGAAAAGTATAGTAAATATCGTGACAGGCTTTTTTGATTATTATAGAAATATATTGTATTGCGGCTGATGTGGATTGGATTTCTTCTGTATCACAAAGGGAAATATGCAACAAAAACAGGCAAGCAAGTATTTTTTGCTCTTGTTTGACAGATATTTGGTTATTTATTTACAGAAGCTTCTGTCTGAGTGTCAAAGCCATAGAGATTGCCAACTTTCTGTGAACCACCTGCTGTTTGGAAAAGACCCATGTCCTGGAACCACCAAATACCTCCATGTGGACTACAAGTGCAAACCAAGTAGGCTTATCACTTTTACATAGAGTAGAAATCATTGCAGAAGTTATGACACTGTTCTTGCCGTTCAATATGTTTCCAAAAAGCACTAGTATAAGTCTGATGTATTATTACTATTATTATTTTCATTATTGTCTTTTAAATGTAACTAATGGATACTTACTACTTACTTGTAGTGGCCAACACCTTGTTCAGATTTTGGCCTCTTTTCCTCCTTTACATTTATATAGATAATCCAAGTTCAAACCAGTACTTTGTCTGGTCCTGCTAAAAAGAGATTATTAAAAATTAAAAATACCTCAAACCTAAAGTGCTGGCCAGCTCAACAGCTCTGTAAATATTGTCTGGTAGATCCCCGCATTGAAAACCTACATTCCCACCATTCTTCAGTGGATCATTAGAGCTGTCTTTTCTCTCCTCAGCTGAGCACAAAGGACACGTGGCTTGTGATGGAGAGAGCCTGGTCCTGCGCTGCAAACCCCCAAAGCTGCTCAACGTCTACGCAGCTGTTTATGGCCGAGGTCTGGGGCAGAGCCACACCTGCCCTGAAGACGACTCCCATCCACCGCCGTTTGGTGAGCATGTATTATGCAAGTAAAAGACAGGGGAATTTACATATTTTTATGTCAGTTGGAATATTTTTGAGGCCCATGTGGGATCAGACGGATGGTCACAGCCACGGGCAGATGGAGTGCGTCATTATTCAGTATATTCAGTATATGCAGCTTATCTTATGAACACGTCTCTCCATGGCCCGCACACAAGTACATCTGCGACATGTTAGTGCCATATGAACCAACTGGGCTCTGAGGAGCACAGGGACTGGCCTCCTGCTGGTGCCCAGAGTCGGGACTAAATATGGGGAGGCAGCATTTTAGATTTATGCAGATACAATCTGGGACAGTCTTCCTGAAAATGTGAGACAGGCTTCTACTCTGACAATATTCAAATCCAGGTACATTTATTTGTAGTTGTGCATACAACTGAATGATTCTTTATTCACTCTTTTTAATGTACTTTGTTTCAACCTTTTTTAAACCACTTGTATATGAACTGTGCGATACAAATAAACCTGCCTTACCTATTCATAGTGTTTAACCATAAAACCAATAGATAAAAACATCTAAATTACTTCCTTTTAAAAACTGCAAAATGTTTATGCCCTGCCTTCTCGTGTATGCATTTTATCGTAGCCCACAGATTTTAATTGACCTGTTTTAATGTTGAAGATTTTCCATTTTTAACCATTATTTACAATCATTATAAGATAGAGAAATAGATTGGGATGTGTTGTAGGTGAAAGAGACACGATTACGGAATCCTCAAATGCAGGTAAATGGAAGATTACTTAACATTTATGAATCACTCAAAATGACACTGTAAAAGACACACCATGAAAACAAGGTTAAAATCTCATCATTTTAGATTTTACATAGGACATCCTGTTTAAATTGGATGGTTCAAATCCTGCTTTTTTCACTCTTTTACAGAATGCCTGAATCATGAAGCTGTTCATTTAGTCTCCAAGTCGTGCTACGGCAGACAGAAGTGCGCGGTTGTCGTCAGCAACCAGACCTTTAGGGACCCCTGCTTCCCGGGAACCAGGAAGTACCTCAGCGTGCTTTATTCATGCGGTAGGAGACTTAATACTTTCCCATGATCCCAACATGATCTTGTAAGACTATTTTAAAGTTCACAGGACGTTATGTCACGCATGTAACCTTCGTTATGTGGCATACTTCTACAGTTTCCTTGAGCTGATTCTTATCTATTGCTCTTATTGCCTTTTCTTATCGCGCCCATAAAACAGAAGCTGGACATAATAGACAGAGACTGAAAGACTGACTTCCTGCTAAACTTCCTGTGATTGGCACAAATGCCAATGAGCTCATGCAGCTTCATTGTTCATGGATTATTCTCGATATCAGATGTGACTTGAGCGTGCCGTGAAATATTTCCTTACATACAGACTTGGCACCAGCGAGTTAGACCTTGAGGACTGTTGTTCTATGGCCAAGTACAAGTTACACAAACTCAAAGAACTGCAGGACTTGACTGTGCTGTAACGTGATCTGGTACCAGCTTGTACTCTAAAAAGATCATTTTGCCTTGACTGGAATGGTCTACATGGGTTAAACTTGTCTTAACTTTAGAGAAGCAAGTTACAAGTCAGAGGAGCACCTGTATTATTGAATAAACATGTAATTGTGAAAAACAATCCAGCAAAAATAGACTTCAAAGTCAAATATCACATAGTTTATCATTTTGTCATTTAAACCTAAAACCTTTAAACTTACATCCAAAATGTTTTTGTAGTACCCCAGAGTTTACTGAGAGTGGCAGACCCCAGCATAATTAAACCCACCTTTCCCTCTGTGGACAGAAAAGAAGGTAAAACCGTCACACCAGATGTTGTGCCTTGACATTTTCTGGCATTTTGTCCCATTTCCGTTCTTCATCCAGATGAGGCCGAAGATTCCCCAAAGGGCTCCCGGGGTCCAGAGGCTGTGGGATCCGTGGTGAGCAACTCTCTGTCAGCCTACGTCTATATTACAGGTAAAGATTACACAGAAAAGGAATATTTCTGTTCAGGTAGTGAGTCACAAAAGGATAGGTGAAAGATATATAGTCATTCCCATGGTTAAATGTGCATCCGGTATGGCGTGTCTGGGAAGGTGGTGACTAATCGTATAAGTGGGTTGAAACACTTCCAATTCTCCAGAAATAAGGTGACAAATGATTCCAAATTACTCAGAACAACAGATTAAAACGACAAGAAGTTTTATGAGGCTATAAAGTTATGCTGTGAACTGAACAGACTGGGATTGCTGCAAATGAATTACCCTCTGAGCTCAATACTTTTATTAACCTGAATTCTACTGAAATGATGTTATCTCGTCTGACTTTTTTGTCCCGAAAGCGGTGGAAAGATATCTATTGAGTGTGAGGATTCAGGTTGTTGGCTGTAGCTAACTTGGCCTCACTCAAATCATGTAAAAACACCAATACAGAACAAAGCAAATACATCCAAAATATCATTTGTAACAAAGTAAACAAAAGCAAGAAGGTCCTGGGCTCAAATCCGGGTCGGAACGGGGCTTTTCTGATTGGTGTTTGCACGTTCTCCCTGTGTCTGCGTAGGTTTCCTCTGGGTGCTCCGGTTTCCCCTACCACTAAAAACATGCACAATAGGTATGAATCCAATGAGTGAGTGAATGGATGGTCAGAGGCTTTGCTGCGCCAGTCTCGTTTCCGTCATTACTTTGAGAACAATAGATTAAATACCTTAATAACCACAATTATTGAATAACCTTATAATCCATTGTTGTTAGGTGTGGTGGTGTATCTGCCCATTTCTGTCTCTTCTCTAAGGACAAATGCACAACGTTGAGTATTTGAAAGAATACTTGGAATACATTTGTCACGTACATTATAACTTATACTTTCCACAGAGCACTCGGAGATGGCCGCGCTGCTCTTCATCTCCAGCGTCTGCGTGGGCCTCCTCCTCACGCTGTTGGCTCTCTCTGTTCGAGTCAGCTGCTGGTGTCACCGCAGAGCCAAACGGGGAAGACCCATGAGGAGACAAGAGCGAGCGAGGGAGGAAGAGGACGAGACTGAGATCTCTGTGGTCTCGGACGCAGAGGCCAAGAGGTTCCGCAGGTGGGAGGAGGTGACGTATGTGAGCGAAGCGGCGGAGCGAGCGGAGAGGATCGAGCGCAGAGACATGATCATTCAGGAGATCTGGATGAACGCTTATCTGAACGGCACCTCGTGTGAACCGCTCTGAAGCCAAGACACTGAAGGACTCTCCCGTCGCACGGTTTTTAAGTACATTATTTAACTTGTATATGTTTTTAAACGTGTAAACATTTACATACATATTTTTGACACCAGCTGTGTTTACGTGCACACACATTTCGCGATATTATCCGATTTCTGAACTGGTTTTCATTTCTGGTGCAGGTCAGAAGTTGTCAGCACCAGGGCCCAGATGTTCTTGAGTGGAAAATGAAAGAACTGAATTGGGAACTGGCACCAGCATGAGTCTAAAGCAAGATTATCCCGAATACCACAGTTATTATGCACAGAAAAAGTTAGAAAACATGGGTTAAATGAAATAAGTTCTTACTAAAAATCATCTAAAATGTTCCACATATCTTTAAATAAAACACAATAAATCCTGGTTTATACTTCTCCCTGAGCTGCTGCAGATAGAGGGTATTGGAATAATTGAAGCGTTTGCTTCATCCAATCCCTTTTCAAACCATGTACCTGTATTTTATTTCTTGCTGTGAATAAATGTCAGTACATACATAGCTGCTGGTGTCACCGCACCAGACCAAAAGGTTGGACACACCTTCTTATTCAAAGAATGTTTTATTTGTCTGACTATGAAAATTGTAGATTCACACTGAAGGCATCAAAACTATGAATTAAATTATGTGGAATTATGTACATACAAAACAACTGAAAATATGTCTTATATTCTCGGTTCTTCAAAGTAGCACATTTTGCTCTAATTACTGCTTCACACACTCTTGGCATTCTTTTGATGAGCTTCAAGAGGTAGGACCTGAAATGGTCTTCCAACAGTCTTGAAGGAGTTCCCAGAGAGGCTTAGCACTTGTTGGCCCTTTTACCCTCACTCTGTGGTCCAGCTCACCCCAAAACCATCTGGACTGGGTTCAGGTCCGGTGACTGGAGGCCAGGTCATCTGGCCCAGCACCCACCAGGTCAAACAGCCCTTACACAACCTGGTGTGAATCTACAGTCAATAGTCATGAAAAGAAAGGACACTCATTGAATGAGAAAGCGTGTCCAAACTTTTGGTCTGTACTGTATATGCAGGTTTGAAATAAATACAATTAAAACAAATAAAACAAACACATTTCCCTCTACATCCTTTTGAAATATCCTTTATTTTATTTATTCATTTTTCAAACCTTGCAGTGGGATGCAGTCTTAATACATCGTTGTAGAAGTATATCCTAGCCCTAATTGTTAATATTGTTTAGCTATTATTTATAGTAAGATTAGTCAATGTAGTACATATCATGGATTTTTGTGATTATTATGGACATATAAAGTAATCCGGCTGATGTGGATTTGTTTTCTTTCTCAAGTTCACAACTGTGTCAATTATGACTAGGGGAAATATGCAACAAAAAGAGGAAAGTCAGTCGTTTTAAGGTGGTATGGATTATGAAATGTTATTAGATTAGAATATAATTTGTATTGGCCATATATGTACATGTATGAAGCAGACTGTAGGACAATGTTTCTAATCCTTGTATTGCAACGTTCCGAGACATTCTGAACAATTATATTTGAATGTTTATTGGTTCTCAAACAATTTATGGGGATTTGAAGTTTTGTGTGGCACAATCAGTTCCAGTGTTATATTTATTCACCACAAAGGTAAGCTACAAGTCATAACACTGTATTATAAGATTATTCTGTAGTTTATTTTTACTTTCTGTGTTGTCGGTCTCCATCTGTACGTTTTTGTTTATACATCTTTTATTGTATCAAGTAAGTAACTGTAAAAATATAAAAATACAACTTTCCAAAGAGAAATCACCTGTGTGGGCTTTCCCTTTGAATTACTTTGGACTCTACATGGGAAGCACAAGAAACAAGGGAAATATTGTATTGATGAGAACATTTAAGGCAACCCTATTAATAAGAATAACTATATTACTCAATTTAAATAGCAATAAAGCACACAGAATTACAAATACAGATGAATAAAATAAAATATGTACCATGAACCATTTTGACTATTCCATGACATAAGCCTCTTACAGCTTTATTGTCGTAAAAAGATAAACTACAGATAGGACTTTATAAAAAGGCTTTTGTAACTTGAAGCCAAAGACTCTGTGATTAGACCTTGCAGTCAGAAGAGTTTGAAGGTAGACCTCCTGTTGCAGCTTCATCTTGGTCCCCACTTGATGTTGGTCAAGCCTTGAAACTGTCTTTTAAGAGCCTGTCTGTCCGACCAATCAGAATCCAGGTAGCTGTCGTCATCTGCCTCCTCTAGTTTCTAGAGAAACAAATGATATATCATTGAGGCGATAGTGTTGTGAATGCTACTATATGAGGTCTGTTACCTTGAGCTCCTCTTGTCTCCTGTGATGCTGAATCAGCATCTGTTTATGCTGTTCCTCTGTGATCAATGGTTCCCTCGCTGGCGCCCCCTGGCCTTTCTACATGGGACCAAAAACACATTTGTAAATTTAATCATACAGTTGAACAGACATAAAGGCACAAAGCTTGGGCTGTTTCTAACCTTTTGAATTTTTACCACGATTTTTGTCTTTTCATTTTTCCCAATATAGTCCTGGAGTTTTTTACCCCTCTGCAATTCTTTAGCTGCCCACCAGAGCTGACAGTCCTCCTCAGGAACAATTTGCAGAAACGCCTAAATCAGCAATCAGAGCAGATTAAAAAAGGAAAACAGTAAACTCTTACATGTATATTGTTATATTGTATGTATACTTTATGTGTTTATTTATTATTTACTTTTTTCCTAATAAACACTATGTAAAACTGTAAATTCAGAGTAATATTTGATCCACAGGAAAGAAGATATTGATTGATTGTTGGACCATTATCATGAAGATTCAAATTAAAAGGATTCAATCCATTTTTGATGATTCTGCTTTTTATGATTGCAAATAATAGTAACCCAATCTAAAGAAATAATAGACTTCTACGCCTTTATGAGCGGAGCTCAATCAATAAAAGACTATCCCTGAGCGGCTACATCCAGTTATAATTATTAACCATATAAAATAGTTTACCTGTGTTCCTGAAAGATCTTCACGGTCTTCTATCTCCATGCGGACAGGGTCGTGCGGCGGCAGACCCATGGGATAAACAATCATCACTGCTCCTCTGAGCATGTCAAGAGCCTCTTTCACCATGTCCATAGTGACACAGACATTAGCCTGAGCTTGTTTCTGTGATAGAACAAATACAAATATATTAAATAGATCTCAGACTGTTGCATATAAATACAATAGAAATCTAATCAGGGACGTGCAGTCAGGGGAGGCAGGGGAGGCAGAGCCTCACCTGCCATTATTGGAAACTAATAATTATTTTAGTTTAAATATATAATTTATATCCACTGTCCTATGCTTTTAATGTATATTCGGCACGGTTCCCATCAGTTTTGATCATTTCTGAAGTCAAAATCGCCGAAATCCCGTTATTCCTATTCAAAGAGACGAGGTGAGGCAGCGCTCCTGCGTGCCTCACCCCAGACCGCTCCCTCACAGTGTGTGTGTGTGTGTCTGAGTGCACTCAGCTCGTGCAGTTGATATATCACCGTTTGTTTCAAATATCCTGCTTTAAAAACATTTTTTAAACTCCTCTTAGTGTTTAGTAGTGTATTGCACGTATGTGTGTACAATTTATATTTAGTTTAAGTCTTTTGATCGTAGATGAACACACAAGGAAAAAGCTTGGCGTGAGGCAGGCGGTATCTGTGCCTCACCGCTAGGGGTGATAGTGAGCATAAAGTTCATACCAGAGTTGCTAACAAACAATCAGCCCAAAATGCTATTTCTTTTGCTGGAAAATGGATGATTTGAATGAAGATTTTTTTTCTCAATTGGACTTTCAAACAAAGAAAGAATTAATATAGACTGGGAGACCACCACTGGACTTACGAGGTTAGTCCGGCTGCGGGGGAGGAGTTTGTTAATCTGTGTTTTATGTTGAACATTGACAGATACCGGCAAAGTAGTGCTTTTCCGAAAAACACTGATTCAAACACTGCTCAAGAGTTCTGCAACTTGTTTAAATTATTGTTTATGTTCCTCGCGTCTCTCTCTCCTCGCGTCTCTCTCTCCTCGCGTCTCCGTCTCTCTCTCCTCGCGTCTCTCTCTCCTCGCGTCTCCGTCTCTCTCTCCTCGCGTCTCTCTCTCCTCGCGTCTCTCTCTCCTCGCGTCTCCGTCTCTCTCTCCTCGCGTCTCTCTCTCCTCGCGTCTCCGTCTCTCTCTCCTCGCGTCTCTCTCTCCTCGCGTCTCCGTCTCTCTCTCCTCGCGTCTCTCTCTCCTCGCGTCTCTCGCACCTGCGCTTCTTAAAGATGTTGTTTGATGCGGAGCAGAGTCAGCAGCTAGATTTGTTGTGAGATTATTAAAAGAAGCTGGTTCTCTTATCTTTACAGTATATAAAGTTTGTGGATGTCATTGCATTGGTGATTAAATGCTATTTTATTTGAATAATGATTGTAAATCTGACTTTTAAAGTCAGTGCCTCCCCAATCACAAACCTCACCGCACGTCCCTGAATCTAATTACCTTTGAAATGAGTGATTTTGCTTCATCTGATGTTTTCATCAAAACCTCCTTCATTTTTTCATTTGGAGCTACACAATATACAAACAAATGATGTATTATTTTCTATTCCGATTTGCAATTTTAATAGAATAATAGACAGAGAACACATTAAGAAAACAAACATGACGCTACAATAAAACAGAGAGTGCTTTGTAATTCAGTTGTAATATAGAAAACATTTAACCAAAATTCACCGTGTCCATTTCTTCTTCCAATGTCATCCTTCCTCAGCACTGGACCACCACTCGGAACACACGTCTCTTCCCATTCATCTACGAGCTTCAACTCCACTACTTGCTCCTCTGTTAGGCCCTGCATGCACTGTGGCAGCGTGATGCCATGATCTGCCAGTTCTGCCATTTCTGTGGAACATAATGTCAAAGAGAAGTCTTACAACAAAACCACTGGAACCATCTGACTGCGTTCGATTTGATAAAAGATCAATTCAGCTTTGGTATTTTCAACTGACAATTACCACCAAATAAATGAGGATAAACATCCTTGTGAATGCCCTGGATGAGAACACCCAAAATAAAAAAAATAAAAGGGACTTGACTGACTCCAAGGGCTCTTCCATCCCCATCTTGACTTGGGAGTCTTGTTCAGTTAACTGACTACCCTACCTTTCTGGACGGTAGGAATATCCATGGTGTAAGGTAGTAGTAGTAGTAGGTTTGTTTATTCGGTCATACACATTATTTTTTGACATAAAAAAAGGCTTTCAAAAAAAGGACAAGGTTACAAAAACAATGTCGCACACAATTTTGACCGAAGGGATTAGGCTGAAGTATAACTTCGTTTTGCTTAACGCTAATCCAATTCAAGGCCTGCATCCACACAAACACAAACATACACTTATACCCAGGCATAAACACAAGTACACATACAAATACACACAGCACTCATGCACTATCAGAAACAAACATATACACGCATGCATGTGTACCCACTCCGACACACACACACACAACACACTGCGCACAACACACTACACGCACACACACACAACACACCGCACACTACACACAACACACACCTAATTGAAAAACGATATGAAAATGTAATTGGGGTAAGCTCACACAAGTATTTTACTTCGGCTTACTCCCTTTGAGCTGTGTCTACTTTTTCTTGAAATGTTTTCCTATTGGATTGTTTTTTGTTTTCTATGACCTGCTCAAATAAATTGATTGATTGATTGATTGATTGAGTAAAGTCTCCAAAGTATGTGGCAAAACCCTTTCAAAATAGAAGCCAAACTAAATTTCAAGATCAGAAGAAAAAATAGAAATAAAAAGAAATAAAAAATAGGATGAAAAGGAACAATTATAGCATATTAATAACTTGAGAAAACCGTTAAATTTTAACAACAACAAAAACAGCAATAAGCTGTCTTAGAAATGTAGGAGAGCTGCTAGGCCTATCATTCTTGGGCTTGGTATTTTTCTAAAATATTTTGTTTAATATATTTAGTTGAAATGAAATGAAATTAAATAATTTCTAAACGTTTCCAATGTGTAGCTAGTTCTTAATTGTGTCATCTAGGTTGTTCCACAGTCTCACTCCTCTGACTGAGACGCATCTGCTTTTTTTGTTAGTTCTTGCCTTATTCATTTTGAAAATCCCTTTTCCTCTGAGATTGCACCCACAATCTCATGTTCATTCAAGGTACCATTATTACCACAACATTTAAGTTGTAAAGTAGAAGCTTGTACCAGAAACCCATTTAGTTAAACAAACCATTTGATGTATATAGTGAGTAGTGTGAGTTATAAGAGGTCACCTGCACATATTCTCTCCACTTTGAGTCTTCCGTTGTAAATGGATGTAATTTGCTGGATCACAGTGTCCAGAGGGGAGTCCACAGTCGTACTGAACAGAAACTGACTCTCATCTCCTCGTTTCACGTGTAACAGCACCATGTTGTTGTAGCTCGTCTCTGTCTCCGTCCTGTCACTGAACAGTTTTGAGGATCACAAATGAATGACCGAGTAAGTTAAACAACACTGAGGACACCCTTCAAAGTTTGGAAACGCTGTGTAACCATGGCAACAGAAGATACTTCCAGAAGGCACCGCATGCTGAAGCTAATGCTAACGACAGGCTGCGTTAACTGCCTTTCATTCATGAACCAATATTACAGAGAGCAGAGTGAGAGGATATCTTACCGTTTAAAAGCATGGAATAGTGAGATCAAGTATTTGAAATATCATAAAAGAGCGTGATGTCCACCCATAGTCGTTAGCAAGCTAATGCTGCGCACACAAAGCACGTTCACTGTGGTAGCGCCATCATGCGGTCAAATTAGGTAACTTTACTAACAACGCCTTGAAGACTAACTTGAAACTTGAGTTATTTTGCTATACGACGAAGAAAAAAAAAATATCTATGGCAACTATTCAGAAATCCATTATTCAACAAATTCTAAAATGTCAAAGTTGCAACATAAACAGTGAAGATAAACGCACGTTTGTGAAATTATCCAGATAAAATAAAATAGTACAAAACTGGATACAAAAAACAAAGGTCCAGTCAATCAGGTAAACGTACATTTATTTTGCATACATACAACAAAAACTGTTTCATACAGAATGTGCCTTCATCTGTGCACATAAAATATATAACCTTGATATTAACATGAATTACAGCTCCACATTTCACTGGAATACATACGGAATATGTTCAACAACACACTTATTTACTACAGAGTATAGTCGTAAGGGGATGAGACACCAATCGCACAGAGGGAGCAATGTTTCCTTATAAACCCCATTTTTGAACATGACACAAAGCGCTGTCTAGTCATCTACTGTAAATGCAAATACTGTTACAGCACACAGGGAATTCACAACAGATGGAGACAATAATGATGTGTGCATGTAAAGAGATATATACCTGCATACATACAAAGCCTTGAGTGCAGTGATTTCAGTTATAGGATACGTTTTACAGACTTTGATAAAGCAAATAGTGTACATTTTTAGCAGGTTTGTATAGAGGTCAGATAATTTGTCCTCCTTGATAGCAAATCCTCTGAAGCATTTGAAATGTGTAATTTAGTAAGGAAAATGCCCCCAACCAGTTTACATACAGTAAGTAACAGTAACTCACTCACCATCCTTTTAAAACTATTGCCATTTTCTCACTGTCAAGTTTCTTGTTGAAAATAGAAAACAAACTAACATACCACCCTTATATGATCAGGTCAAATGTTAACAATTAGCAGCAGTACTTGGAGCCAAACATAGAGGAAAGGACACTCAACACTCAGCAATTGAAATTACATCTGAAAAGTAGGCCAAGGACACTATGTATACACTAGGCAAGTGATGTCTGGGGAAATCCTGACAGTCAAAGAGTTAATTAGCTGTCTTAGAAAAAACATAGTTTAGATTTAATGTCCCTTTGTTTTACTGCTATTGAGAAATCCACAATGGCTTTGTGGTTGGTCTTTAAAACAAAGAGCCTTCGTTTGAAAATGTCAACACATTAACATATAGAGATGCCCTCTCCAACTTTGATATGTTACATACTAAAGGGACTGAATACAGTTTGACATTTCTGAGAGTGTGTTACATATTCACAAGACAACTTCCTGAGGGGAAGACTCCTCACTGATAAAATACACTGCCATTTCTGCACACACTCACAGCCGAGCACAGCATGGTCAAATATACTGACAATATACAAACCTCAATCACAACACACTATAATACCATAGTCAAAACAATTCTATAGAGGCGCTTTTTAAAAAATAAAGTATTTACCATGAAATAAAACCGCTCTCATTTACTCCAGTCATCTATACCATCTTTGCACAGGTGCACGCACACACACACCCACACACTCTGTTTACATTAGAACTGTACGCCGCTTTGAATATGTATGTATATATTGATTTTAGAATCGCAACAATGAAAACCTTGTTTGTATTTCTGCTATCTACAATGCTTAAAGAAGGATATGGCAATAATGCTTTCCTGTAACACAAACACACATGTTGTGAATAGCTTCCATAAGTGTTTTATACGTAAACCACTAATTTAATAAAGAGCTACAAAACTTTCTTAGCTCATTTAGCCCATTAACAGTTTGTTTACAGTGAGATGAGATTTAGTCTGGTGGAAGACTCGCTCAGCTGTTGCTCACTTCCGCGTATGCCTGTATTCAAAGACAAAACCCAGTGCACAAAAAATTACATTCATGTTAAAAGTAAACTAATGTTTTTGGTCACGAACAGAGGAACACACCGCAGAAAGCAGCTACAGTAGATATACAGTATGTAAAACCTGCAGTGCATAAACTTGAACTCAGAAAACCCAAAATGTCTGAAAATGCCTTTGAAAAAAATGATTATACCAAACATTGAATGCCGTTTCATATTGCACAGTCGATGTGTGCATATAGATACTTAATAGTTGTTTACTGAAGACACAGGCACAAGATTGTTGCCGAAAAAATAAACATTAAAAGGATTTGTTGTTATGTGCATATATTGTGGAATGCGCGTCTTTGAAACATCTAGTCGTTACTGTGAAATACTCAATTAAACACTGTCTCTTTTGTACATAAACACACACATAACAAGATAATAGATCTATACATATAATCTGCATATTTGCCCTTTACTAAAATCTGGTCCTATCGCTCTGTGGGCTCTCGGGAGAAGAAGAGCCCATCACTGGTGCCGTCTGGGAGGTTCTGAACGCTGGCTGCAGTTCTGGCTGGAATAGCAGGAGGCGGGAGATTTGGGAATACTGAAGGAGTTGAGGATAACCAGTCTGGCTCAGAGTCAAAAACTGACTGGGAAGAAGGTGCAGTTTGCAAGCTCGTGGGGAACACTGGGGCTTGAGGTGCCGCTTTGGCCGAAAACGCTGACTCGTCATCGAACGTGACCCACTGCTTTGATTTTGGAGCGATCGACTGGTGCGAGTGGCGAGAGGGCGCGAGTGGGAGGGGGAGGGAAACGGCTGGAGCCAGAGGCAAACAAGGGGCTAGTGGTGTAGAGTCAAATGGAATTAATGGAGCAGGAGATGGATTTAACACTGGACCAAATAAAGAAGCAGATTTTTTAAACTGCGGCGCTAATGCAGGAGTTGGTACTAGTGGCTGGGTGAACGCAGACATAGTCTGGACACTGAAATCCGGAGTGACCGATCGTTGAGGTTCGTGTTGCCAAACTAGGGGCCCGGTGAAGGGGTTGGTGCTACTGGGGCGTGCCGGAAGCGGGTCGGCAGGTATAGAGGCGCGTAGGGTTTCCTGCGAGCGGCTGCGCGAGGAGATGGGAGGAGGCGGCAGCAACAAGGACGTGAGGGGAGAGGGTGTGGAGAGAGAGGAGGAAGAGGAGGAGGACTCGAAGTGGTTGCTGACGCTGGACTGCAGGGAGAAGGAGGACGGGAGCGTGTTGGACGAAGGGACCGGTGGAGGGCAGCGCAGAGACGAGCCCCGGGTCAGGGACTGTGTGTTCTGCCACTGTGAGGAAGAAGAGGAGAGGAACTCAGATGTGAGGGCGTCGAAGGGATCAGGCTTCCATTGTGCTTCTCTTTGGATTCCGTTCAGCCCATTGGTCTGAAAAGAAAGTAAAAACATAGTTATAATCTCTGATTACTTGCTACGGGGATCATACCATTAAGAGATTCTGTATTGTCAAGGTTGTTTTGTCGGGCGCGTTCACATGCGTTGGTCTGGTTGACTTTACCTGGACCAATTTTGATTCACTCGGGGCACAAATGCTTTAATGTGGATGTGAAAGTCAGTTTACATGTTTTGAAACAACTCTATGGTAAATTGTTTCCCACAAGTGAACGAGACCAACAATTGTGAATGCGGCCCTAGAATAAAGTATCACACTATAAGGAGCTAAACTCAAATAATTTTGAAAATCTATGGAATCTCTGCAAGGTATAGTCATAGTTACCATGGTGATATATATTAATTCCAACAACACATACAAAATTAAATTGTGTATGAAATGGAGTAATTTCAGATGTGCCCACACCTAATGAGCCAACCTGAAAAGCCTGAAATGGACAAACAACTACCTGATAATACTATAAAGTGAAAGGCAGCAAGGCCTTGCAATGATCAAACAAAAACAAAACACAAAAAAGGAGGAAAAACAGGGGGATGTGTAGGTCATAACATTTGTCCTGAGGGCTGAGGTGCTATGGAGGATGAGATGGAGGAGTTATTATCATGTACCTGTCACCCTGAGGGCTTCTCCGGCTTGTGAGAAAGAGACACATGTTATAGAAAGATAGAAGCAGGAAAAAGGCACACAAGTACAAACAGCAGCAAAACAAGAGGCCATTATTATTAGTATATAATATTATTCACTATACTTTTCTTTTGTCACTAATTAGCCATATTAGATTTTTTAGACGCATGAATACAAACACACCTGTGAAGACGGAGCTGCGTCCGACTTGTCCGGTGGCAGGGCCTGCTGTGAGCGGGAGCGTGGGGGAGGTTTGGGGGAGGACAGGCCTTGTGTGGGTCCTGCTGGGGAAGGGGCTGCGGCAGCTTGTTGAGGCTGCAGTGGAGTCTGGAGGGAGGGCTGAATGGGTGGAGGCAGCTGGGGGGCACTGGGCGTAAAGGGGGGGGCATGGAGGTGGCAGAGGGTCTCGCTGGAGCAACAGGCCCTGGAAGAGGAACTCCTGCTGGTGGAGGGCCACTAGGATGGGGACCTGTCAATAATGAGAAAGGAAATCATTGGACCTTTTTTTGTTTATCTTTGAGCTCAAAAGAATTCTAACCATTTTGCATATAGTGATTCATTGATTCCCCAAAAGGAGAAATTCATGCGTCAACTGTGAGTGACATACAAACGTCTCCAGGCACACAACAAAGCCTGTATTGTATCTGATCATGTTCCATAGTAAAGGTACAAAAGATATGCAAATGCAGCTCTTTATGTAAATATTTACATCAAGTTATAAACATAAGATAACAGAACCTTACTTCCTCCCACAGTGGGAAAACTCTGCAAATTATATACATAAAAGTAGGATAAATAAGTAGATAAAGTGACATTCAGTGGACATTCTGAAATTGCAGTATTTACCATTTACAGATGATATGAAATTATTCAGCAGAACGATTCATAATTTACAGTCTTCCTCTTCTCCGGTGAGAAAACAGAACTGCTGCAAACTTTTTTAAAGAAACTTGACCATTTTAAGGAAAAATGGGTTCAGGGCTTTATAAAGCAATAAAAAAAAGGGAATACAATCTCCCCTTCAAGGCTCTAAAAACATAATTTCATAAATTCCAAATGGCTCTTACCTGGAGGCAGATCAGGCTGCTTAGGCTGGGCAGTAGGCACTGGTCTCGGTGCTCCAGGGTGGGTGTCTGGAATGGGCCGCGGTGCCCCGGGATGAACCTCAGGAATGGGTCTGGGAGCTCCTGGATGAGAAGGAGGCGGCGGCCGGGACTGTGGAGGCATACTGATCACCCCAGCCCGCGCAGGGATATTCTGAAGAGAGCAACATTTTATTTGACATGTTCCACTAATAATTTAACCCCAATGTAAACACAATCATTCAAACTCACAGGTCTGGAAGGCCCAGGTGCTCCTGCTGCTGTCTGACCCCTTCCTGATTTATGAAACAAAAGAAGCTGCTATAAATGTGTAAACTGTATATACATGCCAAGAGAGTGAATCAAAGTAAAATACACCAGGCCTGAAGAAATAATTTTTAAATAATCCACAACTTGGACATACGCCCAGAAGAGAAGCAGACATATCTTTGGCAGACTTTATTATAAATGACTCTGCAATTCCTCTGCTAAAGGGAGCTGTATTTGAGGATGTCCAATAGTATACCTGCTGGCTTCAACACAGGATCTCAACTCAGGATTCCAACTCTTAACAATGCATATAAAAGTTCATCTTGTGACATTAAAAGAATCGTCATCTATAACAATCTGTGTCTCCAAATCTCATTCAAGCGCTAATATTAACCTATCAATGAAGACCATACTTGTCTTTTGGGCAAAATTCACCTCTGGATTAAAGGGGAGGTACCCACTCACCTGCAGCAGAATCAGGACGTTGAGGAGAAGGGCTTTTGGCTCCTTTGCAGCACAAAGGAAACCAGTGCAAACCAGATTATTATTCATATAAGTCTATTACTGCCAACTAAGACCCAGGAAGTTCTCATTAACAAAAGGTCGAACTAAGAATGGTATAGTTATCGTATATATTCTACCATGAGAAAACGTGAAGGATAATCTGTTGTGAGTTTACTCCAGCCTCTTTTCAAACTATCCTTAAAACTAAAAAAATACAAATAAAAACAATGACCACAGTCTACATTCCACCATCAATATCACAACGACATTGATGTTGTTCTATAGTTGATGGCGGAGACTCGAGCGGTTACCTGTCATATCAAGAGGTGGGCTGTAGGAGTCTTAAAATCAAACAATGAACCAATTAAAAATAAATCATTTCAAACTGATATATAGACTAAATGCATAGAAGAAGAACAGAATTGTGTTTAATTTGTGTTTTAATGTAATGAGAGCAGCCGGCACCACTGCAATTTCCTTTGTGATCAATAACGTTTTTTCATATCTTATCTTATGTTAATAGTCAATTCAATAGTAAGGTACAGACAATTCAAAAATGTAGTTCCCAGTAAATTTTAGAGATTATTACAAAAGTTATAATTGAAATTGAAAGTTTGTGAATTGAAAATTATTCCTACACTGTCAGAAATGCAAATCTATATTATTTGTAATGTTTCGTGTCACTTTGGTTCATATAGATCAGGGGTCTCGAACCTTTTTCAATCAGAGAGCTACTTTTATACAACAGAAGAGGGAGAGAGCTACTCCTTTCTGCAGTCGTAATTAAGATCTATGTGATAATTACGACAAAAGGTCCTGGGTTCGAATCCTGGTCAGAACATGGCCTTTCTGAGTGGAGTTTGCATGTTTTCCCCGTGTCTGCGCAGGTTTGGTTTCCCCTACCACTAAAAACATGTACTGGCGACCTGCTCGCATCTCTGAGTGGAATGAGAGACACATGCCAACAATTGTAAACCGCTTTGTGACTCTGGTCTGTGAAAGGCGCTATATAAATAAAGATTACTTACTTACATGGAGATCACATGCATACTCTATAACCCATATATGTGTCCATAGGTCCATATATAATGATACTTATAAGTTATAACAGACATGGAATGACTCTAAATGTATTCATTCAGGATCATGTGTTAAATTCTAAATCCTTTGGGGAGCTACCTGAAAGTGGCTGCAAGCTACTGGTAGCTCCAGAGATACAGGTTGGAGACCTCTGACATAGATCCAACCACGTGGCAGAACAAGTACAATACGAGCGTGTGGGGTTTGTACCTGAAGGAGGAGGTGGGCGCTGAGGAGGTGCAGGGCGAGCTGGAGGAGCGTTGGGTCGTGGGGGAGGGGCACGTTTTGGCTCCAGAGCACCAGCTGTAGGCGCTCCAGGCTGGAAGTCCACAGGAGGACCTGGCAACAATCAAAAGAAACAAGGTTAGAAGAAAAAAAAAGAAAAAGAAAAAAAAACACTATTAAAAAGTTCGTATCTAACCAACCAATCCAAATCACACATTATTCAAAATACTTAAAAAAATGATGCATAAAAAATAGGTTATGCATTTTTCTGTCGTACCAGACAGGGCAGTTTACCTGTGCTTGACTTTCTGCACCTGCGTATTGAGGAGCTTTCATCTGCTTCCAAAAACAAGAGTATTTGTTCCTTTGATACATCATTTTAATGAAAGAATAAAACTGTTAACTGGAAATTGGATCGATTCAAATGAAATAACCCAAACAAAATGAATTGTTTTTTACTACATTTACAACAGTCAGTGGTTCTCTATTGTAACCACCAGTATGTCCCATGATGCAATGTCAGTACACATGTGGCCATACGTTTGACTAAACTCTACAATGCACAGAACTGCATATTCAAGACATGACAAAAACTGTAATTCACAAAACACACCTACTATTGTGTAATACTGGAAAGACAGTTACTCCTGACACACTTTACCTGACCTGCGCCGGCGGATTGAGGGACTGTCTGTTTCCACACAGTGCAGACAGAGTAATGTTCATATTTGTTTAAAAGTACGTCACTAAAGTTTGTAAGAAAACATCTAAGAAAAGACATTTTAATTTACTCTTGAACCGTAAGAATTAAAACTATTCAGATAACGAACTTAACTCCTCAGTGTGAAGTTGGTGTACAATGCATATAAACTGGTCCTCAAACGGCCAGTGTGGCTGCAGGTTTTCATTTCAACCAATCAGGAGCACATCAGACTCAACTCATTTCATCAAGTCTTCAGGTTAAGACGGGTGTGCTCCTGCTTGGTTGGAATGAAAACCTGCAGCCACGCCGGCTCGTCGGGAACTGGCTTACAGACCACTCATATAAACCAAACGGCAACGCACAACAAGCAAAAGCGATTCAAGCTTTTTAACACTGAACAAATCTAAACACATTTACCTGGCTTGCGTCTGATCGAATGAGTGAAATCTGTTACCAAAGCATCACAGAATAGAAAGTATATAAAGTAGTGTCAGTATATCCTGGAATTCCTATACACCACATGAAACCCACACAATTCCTACTCCTATTACAACAATGTGGCATTTACCTGAGAGTCTCCTGTTTAGATTTGGTGAGTCTGATTGACACAAAATCAAATACTTTGCTTAATTCAAATCTACTTTTGTCTTGAAATATTTCACTACACAAGTTTACCTGACAGCCTCCTGTTGGTCGAAAGGCCCACATCTGAATCATGCATTAAAAAGATAATAGTACTTAATGTATGTGTGATATGTTACAGGTTATGCTGAACAATCAAAGCAGCTATAACAGCCTGCTTTCACTAAAAACTACGGCAAGTTTTCACGATCCAAACAGCGCTCAAAAAAGCCACACAAAGCAGTTTACCTGACAGTCTCCTGGGTATTTGCGACGGACATAAATCTGCTCCCATGATTTGTGAAATAGAAATTTGAGTTCACTTACTACATAACAAGTGTTATATGTGGAAAACAATAGAGCCTTTACCTTGTGAGGGTCTGGCAGGCTGGGCTCCACGGGTCGGCCGGTTGGGGGGAGGCGTCTCTCCGGTGGGGGAGGGACAGGGGCTGCCGCGAGGGGAAGGCAGAGGGGATGAACCGAGGCCAACACCTGCTCCGGGCTGCAGGTGCTGAGGAAGAATCTGCTCCACTTCCTCATCCACTTCACCTGGAAATGATAAATGGGCCATTTGAAGTATGGTACAAGTGTCCAGCGTAAAAGGTAAAAAAAAAAAAAATCCTTGCTAACTAAAAAGATTAATAATGTGTCAATCTAGCATATGGCAATTAACTTAATTAAGTTGGGGTGCCTAACTATGAAACCACAAAACAAGGGATCAATATTATGATGAATCTCACTATTTCTTCGCTCTCACAAGTTCGGGTCTAGCACAGTTGTTGACCTTGACCACATCTTTAGATCAGCATTTTTTTCAGACAAAACTAGGAAAAAGGGAAAAACTTTTGCTTAGCGACACGGTGGGCGGCACGGTGGCTGAGTGGCACTCTCGCCACTCAGCAAGAAGGTCTAGGGTTCGAATCCCGGTCGGAACAGAGCCTTTCTGAGTGGAGTTTGCATGTTCTCCCCATGTCTGCGTAGGTTTCCTCCAGGTGCTCCGGTTTCACCTACCACTAAGAATATGCCCACTAGGTAAAATCCTCCAGCTGACCAAGCCGAGCATTAACATCTGGAGATGGGTTCCCGGGCTCTGTACTATGGCAACCACTGCTCTTGACGTAAGCCTGGCTGCTACCTGTCAGACGTCCGTAAAACGGAAGAGTGGCCACACCGGCTTCAGCAGCGCGCAGCTCTGGCTGTGCGTTTATCAGCACCCCGTGAGGCTTTGTTTAAAATAAAAGAAGCAGTGTGTGATTTGCATGAGCTGTGGCTATGATCAATGCAAAGCACGACATATTGAAGCATTGAGGAAGTTGCAATGGATTAGACAAAACTTAATGAAAGCAATTGGAAAAAGGGGAGAGAGAAAAGAGAAAAGAACTCCAACATATCCAGGCTTTTTTGAAAGCGAGTCAATATTAACATTACGCGAAAAATAAACGGTAGATATACAATCAGGAAACAATTATTTCAATTTAATACATGAAAATAATTTACACACATTTGTTAATAATCATTGTCATTAACAAACACTTATAACCAAGGACTACATGCAGCATATATCAATACATATATTATAATGTAGTAAATATATTTTTCCATTGTATTTCCAATGGAAAACGGACCAGACACGCGTCAACGGACGTAAAAAGTAGGATTGTTTCTATTTCGTCAGTCCACCCTGCGTGGACGGACTGCTCGCTACGCACGTCATACGGACGCATGTCGCGGGCAGTGGAGCCACTTCCATTCACCCTCATGGAGAAAACGAAAACGGAGATGAAACAGACACGTTTGGACGAATACGTTTTACGCAGCCGGTGGAGTCGGAGCCTTAGTGGCATCAGGATGGGTCAAATGCAGAGGACAAATTTCCGTACGGGGACAATAAAGTGCACATTTACATTTACATTTAGCCAATAAGCTTATAGCCCAAAGAGTCAAATAGTGACTCATAGGGTTCATTCTTACAAGTATGTTTTTAAATAAGATTGATGTTGTTGTGGTCTTTACTTTTGCACAACTCTCTATGTAGGTAAAATATAAAGTTAGGTTCCCCAGCTTTAAAATGATACACTTGGTAAATATAATCCATCCTGCACAAAACACCCGCCAACAAAACCTTGTGCTGCATATTAACATAATAGTAACATAAGAATAATTCCCTCACAAACCCAAAGATCACAAAGACACACACATACCACCCACAGTCGTGCACTTCACTCACACATTCAAATGCAGGTTTTTTCCAAGATGAGTCATGGAAAACCCTGCTTTGGTCTGCTAAAGTTCAGAAAAGCACTTTTAAAGTCATCATCATTAGAGTGGTGGAAATGCTAGTATTTTGACTGAAGTCCAGTATCATAGGAAGTCCACTGACCAAACTATTATATTGTATTTGCCAACAACTATCCCATTGAACAACTCATGTACTGATTATTTTTCACCATTCAACCTCACCTTCCATGTCAAACTCGTCGTCTCCCATGTCCGTGTCCTCGGCGAGCAGAGTGGAGCTGGCGGAGGTGGGAATACTGCCACAGATCCTCTCTACACTCATCTCGTCCTCCAGACTCTTGATCCACCCCGGGCTCTTCAGACGAATATCAATCACTTTACCTATGACCTGTACAATGTCAACAGGACACATTGAATAAGACAGCAGCCGGACAAGTGGACAACGTGTGCATAAACAAACTGCAAATATAAATTATTTACAGTGGAAGCGCTGAGAGAGAGGGCTGCAAGTGCGGAGTAACCTTCCAGGAATGTCACCCACATCTTCTCCTCCACAAATCTAAACAAGGACAAACATAACAAAATGACAGGGCTTGCGGTGACTTCGATTATCGTGGAGGACAATGAATGCCGAAAGACTCACCTGATCAGGATGACCTCGCCAAAATTAGCAAACTTGTCCAGCAATTCGTCGATGAGAGCGTCGTCGAAGTAGTCGTCAGGGCCCGAGGAGCAGAGCGAGACCAGGATGGTGCCGTCTGGAGGGCCTTGAAGGGCAATGACGTCTTTGTAAACCTGGTGTCGGGCTTCGGGGTCCACCTCCAGGATTTCCACGTCTATCACTGCTACCACAGGCCTGCAGCGGGTAATAAATAATGCATGAATGAACAATAAACTGTATGCAGAAATGGACAATGCTAACCCTCTAGCTCTACAAAGTTTTGCTCCAACTCGCTTTGGCTGCCATCGCTCACATTGAAAACTACACTCCTCTAGGTCTGTAACTGTTTGTCTCACACTCTGCTTTGTGGGTTGAAAAATGAATTCTGTAGGACTTTGGTGTTCATACAACTGACCAATCATGTGCCTTGCCAGAATCAGAATTATATTTTGTTCCATTGTAAGGAACAGGAAGTCGGAATTTGTTACAAAAAATAAAAGAAGTTACACAAAAAGTTATAAAAAGCATAAAAGAATAGATAGCCATGCATTAAAAAAATCATAATACAATTTTAATATATAATTACACAGAATAAAATTTAACAGTGCAGATAATCCATAAGTGTCCAGAATTTAACTGATTGGCCTGTTGGTTGCTAGGCTGCTGCCACCGACGAATTTAGCTCCAGATTCCCGCTCATTGATTTGTTGTAATACTTGAAGGGTGGAGATCAAATGAAGAGCGACCGTTCAAGACAAGTTTATTTTTAACGTCTGTCTAAGCCCTAGTTTTATTATACACAAGTTTTCCTAGGTGTATATTTCCTGCTGAATATAATTTACAAAAATGTATAAGCAGTCACCTATGATCGGAGGTCTTCAGCTCTGCTCTGCCGTAGTATTTGAGAGTCCCGGGGCTCCAGGGTTGATCTGGATCATCTTCACATTCTGCTGAAATGGATGCTGCTCCTACAATATTCATCTCTTCAGCTGCAAAACACCAAGGATGTTTCTCATACAAACAAATATAGAGGAATTTAATCAACAATGTCAACATTGCATCTTTGCTTCTCACCGGTTTGGTCAAAGTTCCACTTCCGTCTCTTCCACAGAATGCGGTCAGTCCAGGCTGGTGTGCGGCACTTTTCACTAGTGTCATAATCCTCAGAGAAAAGGTCGTACTTGTAGGTTGGGGCAAAATCCAATTCGCCCTCAATAAACTCTTTAAAAACCTGAGACATATCCAGAAAATATGTCATCATCAAGAATATATCTCTAATCCTTTCTAGAATTAACATTACTACTACTTATTACTACATTTGTTTATATATTTTAAGAGATCATTCTGCGTATAGGTTACATTTCTGTTCTAGAATTCTATTTCAGTTGGAGGGAAAAAGTAAGAAAGAAGTGTCAACAAATCCATATGTCTTCCAACATCAACCTCATGCATATGCTTATGTTTTTGTTTTCTGTGCATTGGCCAAAATATTACTGAGAAATTAGCTATAAATACAGTTACTATAGTTACCAGGAAAGATTTTTCAGCTGGCCTCAACCACTATTTTTACACTTTAGGCTCTTTGGAATGTTGTGATATCACATAAACACAACCTTTTTCCTGTTACTTATTTAGAAAAAGAACAACAATTCAGATGTATTGGCATTTATAAGGATCTTGAATGATTATACCACTTTTGCCCACATTTAAAAACACAATATTCACCAGTCCTGCACTCTTCTGTTCAACCAGCTGGTCCCCTGCTGTCAGAGCGCCCCAGTTCTGCTGCTTGATGAGCTCTTTGACCTCTTCGTTGGGTAGACTGATGCGATAGTTAAAGTCTCCGCACCAGAAGACGTAATCGTGCGAGTCCAGCAACCGTCCCTGGTCAAAAAATAAACACAGTTTGAATTAGCTTGGTTACTATTTCATTTAAATCGCAACTTTAGATCTTTGTACCATGGGGAAGCTGAGTTTGCGTGAGATTTCATTGTAGTCGTCGTTCCTCTCTTTAACCTGTGATTGTCCGGCGGCGAAGTGGGAGCAGAGGAAGCAGATGCTGGTGGTGTGAAACAACAGGCGGATGGCCACTCCTCCTTTATTACCTGTGGCCCCCCCCATTCCAGTTTTTACAGTGTCAACGGCAACATCCCTGGCAAACAAAAACTTTCTTAAAAATCTGAATGGCATAAGCACTTTCACAAGTCTCATTCCCATCGAGCAAAAACACATGGGTCGCCACTTCTGTACACATTGCACGGCCCATGCTGGTGGGATGTAACAACTCGCCTTTAACCTGCCTTTTGACCTATACTTTTCCCCAAGGCGTGTTAACTGGGAACACTACGACCAAATATAGCTGTAACTTAGACAGCAATACAAAACAATCTGTTTTATAGCCTGTTACTTACATGTGGGTCAGGTAAAGACTGTTATAAAACTAAACACAAGTCACACAAGGGACAACGAACAAGCCGTGTAACAAGAGTGAAGCTTTTATCATCAAAGTTTGGGCTTTTTACTATGAAGTTATCCTTGAAAATGATCGGTTTGAAAATGTTTATATGGCTCAACGTGGATGTAAAACGTTCTATAGTCCATCATAACGTGATTCCCTCTGCTCCAGTGTGCACTGCGCGATGACTTTAGAAGACTGATTTTGAAAGTCAGAGGTGTGTTTTGACTATTTTGACACGTTCCTATCTTCCTTATGATGAAAAGCTGACAGGCTGCCAGGCCTCCCTTTCCCACCGTTGTCCTGGGTTGACACTGCATTTCAACCCGGGTCTTCAGTGCATAAAAGCCCATAGGGTAAGTGTAGTGTAATGGACTGTTTTGTTACCTGATGTAAGGGGCATGTTGTGGGCGGATGAAAACAAAGAGACACACTCCCACCAGCTGCTCCGAGGCCAGCAGAACGTACTTATGGTCCCGGGAAATGTTCTTCTGTAGCTCAGCCGCCCACAGCTTTTGATTTGTAGTACTGGAAAAGAAACAGAACCAAATTAGTCAAACAGCCCACATCTTAGTAAGCTTACACTCAATAAAAATTACAAGAACATAAAGAGACTTCTTCAAGTTTACGCTCAATACGGTAAGGTATGAATTTTATTTATTTACCGCGCACAATAACATTTTGCCATAAGGAGAGATACATTAGACTCAAGAATGTATTTATTTTGTATGTATTTATTATACCATGATAAAGCAGAAGAGGGTAATTTACATAATTAGTTACTAAACAGGTCGATTTCCCAGGAAAATATAATCAGTGGAATAGAATGGATACACAAACATACATCATTATCATTCTTTATTTAATGTATCATAGAGTAATAGTAAATCTATGCTTTGTTTTCACTTCCACAAAAAGAACTGCAATGCAACACCACTGCACTCATGCATACAAATAGGAAGTACAGTAAACAATAAAACTAGTATCAGTAATTACACATTATTTGTGCAGCTCTGAGAAAGGTATGTGTCCTAATCTCAAGTGTACGTTCACCGTTATCTCCAAAAGGAATTTAGCACACTCACATACCTGGCACTGACAATGTTCCCTGCATTCAGTTCAACCATTTCCTCAAAGCCAATGGCAAAAATGTCTATGGGGTTAGCCTTGCTGTCTGTAAAGAGAAAAGGGAAAATATGACATTTAACAATTATACCAAAACTGTATAGATAATATATGCAATAAAATTTAGTGGTTCTAGGTCTGCAGCTTTACAAACATCTGTTAGCATTTCTAAAATTGGTACTGAGGTAAATGCTGTAAAAGTACCACCAGTTTACATAATATTACAGATTTATAGTTACTGCATCATATAAACTATTTCATTAACAACCAACCTTGGAAGTCAGGAAGTCCCGCCTTCAATGGAGCATCCAGGAGCCAGTCATTGAGCGTCTGGTTGCGAAATGCGATGCTACGGAACTGTTTACCGCCGTTCACGTTCCAGGTGCCCACGCACACTCGGATCTTCTTTGGTTGGGTGTACTTCTGGTAGCTCTGACACATCCCCAACAAAACTCTAGGGGACGCTGTAGAGCAGAGATTTGCATGGACAATAAGGAGCAGAATTAATAAATTAATCCTGACTCTTGGAATATATTTTTTTTGTAGAGAAGCAATGAGGTTTTGTCGAGATTCAGTTGTTCTTTAACGTTTGCACATCCAGGCAGAAAAACAGATAATTGGCCATATTTCAGATTATGAATGATAATGCAAACATACTTTTTTCAGTCATTGCTTGTGTTTGTGTGACGCATGTTTTCTACTTTCACTATGACATCAGAAAATACTCAAAGGACCCTGATCAGAAATATCCATCCCCAGTTCTCAATAGCATGTATTGTCCCTTTAACGTCTTTTGTGGTAGTTGTGAATGAGGTTCTTTATCCTCTTTGATGGTAAAGAACCTCCAGCAAAAAGCCTCCAGTTCCTGTAAATTCCCGGGCCGCCTTTTAAGTTCAGCATGTTGCAGTTTTCCCCAGAGCGGCTAAATTATGTTAAAATTTGAACACAAAAACACATTTATTTGACAAATAAATTCCCTCACCCACTAACAATTAGTGAAAAAAAGTCTGAAATATGGCCAAATTTATGAAATTATGGCTGGGTTGTATAAACTTTAAACTGAATTGTATTTAAATAAAGAAGAGGCATAATGCAAACACAGAGGGACTGTTCCAACCAGGTAAACAATCTAAATGACCTAATATTTATTACAACACATACTATCGAAGGGAGTTGATGACATGCAAGGGTCAAACCAAAACTAGGAGTGACACAATGAATAATAAAAAAGTTAAAAACGTAAAAATGACCACATCCACTGGTTTATTCATGGCTAATTACTGTACCTGATTGTAAGACCGGCTCAGTGACTAAGATTGTAGGCAAAAGGGGAGAGAAGGGAGAGAAGGGAGAGAAGGGCGGGTTAGCCAGTGTTTGGACAGATAATCAGAGAAGGGTAATCTAGCAAGGACACAACCCATCCTACTTTAAGCAGGATTAGAAACTTAAGTCCGTCTATATTTTAACTGTAAGAGGGAGAAAATTAACATGTTATACTAGTTTAATGTTTATAAGAGATTACCATAAAGACTGGAGGTTGTGAGTAGTGCTCGAGCTTTGTCAGCCAGATCACTGTTGAGAGTAGAGCCCAGTCGGAGGATGTCTATGGCCTCCTGTTTCGACGTGTCAAAGAAGTTATTCTGAATTGTCCTGGTGACTGAGCGAGCGCCGTCTTTCAGCTTTCCGGCCTGAAATGAAATAACGCAGGTTGTTAAATGTCGAAGTACGTCTCAAAACCCCAAGGAAAAGAAGCAACAATAATGTATAGAGAAATCAAAAGAGGCTGAGTTTTTGAATGGAAGATCAAAACAGCAATGCAAGTATGGTGTCATTTATTCCACCAAGGGTATCATTTATTTTAATTCACTGTAGTACACTCAAATTTTTATGTGGGTGTACTATAGTGTGAATGCAATGTAGGCCACAGATAAGCAAATATTAAGGTATATGGTGGAGGTATTGAACACAGCATTCCAAAGCAAAAAACAAATACAATCATGGAAAAGCTGTAGGAAACCCAGAGCCTTTCAACAGTTTAAATTTAACCCAAATAACAATCCCACAGACACAGAATGGCGACTCAAAATGACACCTGATATTTTCACTTACCACAGGAGCAGAAATCCAGAGAGAGCAGAGAGAGAGACAGCACACACAAGTTAAGAAACGTCAGCACACAGGCCAATCTCGCCACTTCCATGCGCAAACTACTACTCCACATAACTTAGACATGTACGTAGTACTCAGCAAAAGGACTTTTTTAAGATCATGTATTATTTTCATTAAAAACAAGCATTACAAAACACATCCCAGCATTTGTAATGTCAAACCATATTATCACAAGCTTAAGATAATGCTATGTTTTGTGGGCACAGCCATCTTCTGTATAATTTGCGAACACGTATTTACATAGCTTTAGCTGCACTCTTTGTCAGTGCGTACCTTGGCCTTGCCGTCCAATGCTCCGGTGCCTGCGTAGATTTTACTGACAAAGTCCCCGTTTTGGGACCACATTGTCCTGAATACTTCCTGAAATCTGGCAACCAGCTGTGGCTTTTCAGTGAGACCCATTTCCTCAAGCTGCTTTGGTAACATCTAAAAATCAAAAGGGCGAATTTAAGGAAGTGTGGATAGCATTGTGCAATCAACATTTAAAATATATTATGGAATGACTCAATACCTCAAGACCAAAGAAAGCCTGGACACTGTTGGTTCGGTCCAAACAATCCAGACAGTTTGTTCTCATTGTGCCACTCTGAGACCTGAAACAAAGAAATTCAAGAGAAAAATCAGCGTCAATCCCCACCATTTAATTTTGTCATATAATGGCATTCCTTACCTCACGATCCCGGTCTCGGCAGAGTAGTAAAAGAAGCCGCAATCCTCAAAAAATTTGACAAGTTGTGGTTTGAGGACGCTGTGGAGTTTGTCTGCTTTTCCTCCTCTGACATTTTGATGATAGTCAAAGTTCACCATTTTCACAGCCGAAGCATGCTCAGAGGCTTTCAAATGGCTCTGTTAAAAGTATCAATTGAAGAATAAAGTGTTTTAAATTATGATTCAAATTCAGTCCATTATTGTAAATGGAACTCACCTGGAAAGCTTTACTCAGCATGTGCTCTCCCTCTTTACTCCCCAGCAGGTTAATTATGACCTGTTTGCCATATAGACTTCGAAGGGCAGTGAAATGTCTTTTAACGAGAAAGAATGGAGAATTTAGTAAAAACAGAACATATTTGAATAATCCAAAGTAAATGTAATGCAACACTATAAATACACCTGTTGTCAAAGGTCACATTGTGCCAGAATTGAATTAAATATAAAATCTTTTTGTATAGCCCTAAATCACAACAATCTCTGAGTCAGGAATTCATGAAGTTGTTGATTCCCAAAGAATAGATCATAGAATCAAACAGTTCAAACACAGTAAATTCAATATTTAGTGGTCCAGCGTGATGATCAATAACCGTAAATGTTAATAAACACAGCAGAACACTCATCCAAATGTTTGCAATTTGTCTTCATTTGTCAGGAATAGTACAACTGAAGTAATTTGGAATATAGAATTAATTAAGAGGGTTAGCAGCAAGAAATGTAAATATCAAACTGTGAGTTTCTATAAACACGGACCTGTCTTAAGCTAATGTGTGCTGTGATCTTGCCAAAAATGCAGTTTTATAATAACAGTTTATTTTAATGTCAACAACATTTTTGGGGGATAAAAATCTTCTGTTTATTTAATGCTGTGTCTGTGTCTGAGTCTGATTAGGTCATTACACAACCACCGGGACAGCTTTGGTAGAAGATAGCAAAGGAGTCAGTTGTAGCGTTAAGAAGGTGGGACCTATAGATACGGCTCAACACCCATCTTATAAATGATGTGACAAAAGTATGAGCGGTACAAAAAGTTGCAACTATAATTGTATACCTTTCAAAAGCTGGTGCGTTTGCCTCAAATCCTCGAGACAGTTTGACTCGATGAGAACCGACCTATGAACAAAGAGAGCCAGAAAAGACAAAGAACACGCACGTCACAATGTCCATTTTGCAAAACAAATTACAGGGCGGCTTGACAACAGACAGTGCAGACGGTAAGAAACCTGTGGAAGAAATGATTTAAGACCCAACTGGGGACAGATAGGTACTATTTTCAATTTAAAAGAATAAAGTAAAGGACAGGAGAAAATAGGACACCAAGCAGCCGCAGACATCCTTACATAATTTCTTTTGTGCCATGAGTCAAACAAAGTAGTTGCACAATAGCCTCAGAATACCAAGCTAACCTGTACACGTCCAACTATGACAGTACTTGTTTCAGTTTGTCCGTCATTGTGCCTCTTGTTTTGTAGTGCTAATTGTTTGGCATCGCATTTTGTGATTCTAACAAGTCTGTTTTTGGCAAGATGACACACACTCTCTTGTCCCTTGCTGCCACTTGGTCCACTCATTGCTGTGGTGACGGCCTACTCTACACTATGCATATTTAATAGTTTCTTGGTGGTAAGAGAATCCTGTTACAAAACCTGTTCACATTTCAGTCTAAAAGGGTTTCAGAAACAACCTTAGGCGAATGTAGAAAGTGTCATCTAAATCAAATCCAATACATCCTGCACTACAAGTTAGACCCTTCTGTCTATTCACTACTAGGACTACTTCACCAAATAATAGATCTAAGGCTCTTTTCTTCTACACTGATCCATCTGAATTGTAGTTTTAAGGACTGTTTCGTGACAAGGGAATCACTACAGAACCACGACTGGCAAAAGGGGCTAAGCAAGCACTAGAACAATGATTTGAAGCAGGGTAAATAAATCTCTGTCTGAAAACAACCCCACATTCCACTGCAATTTCTGCTTTTGTACATTTGCTTTAAGGCAGTACAATTAAAGCATTTAGACCTGGATTATTTACTCGCAGTGGTTTGGAGGATGTTTTCAGACCAGGCTCTCACCTGGCCAAAGATCTCTGGGAGCTGGGAAAACAGAAGAATGGCCTTTACCAACCACTAACTACAAGTACTTTTCCCCCCGCATCTGATCCAATCCACCAATCTGTGCAAAGTCAGGTCAAGGACACAGGCCGTACAGTAGCATTATTTATGATGCACTTTGGAGGTCTTAGTTCATGTTGTAAACTGAATCATGAATGACACTGATGTTACAGTAAATCCAATGGTGAACTATGATAACAATCAAGACCTTGTGTTTGACCTCTGCAATGCACAGTATAGCAGCACCAACACCAGCAAAGGCAGATTTTAAACGATTATACCAGATGGGGGTTCTCATCCAGGCCATTAGGGGTCCGATTTTCATTCAGTTGCAACAAAACACCCTTAATGGACTTTTTCTAGACACAGTGTGGAAGAATGTTATAATACGTGACAACACAACGCAACAATAGGACATTTCTTCCACATCTTCCACAATCTTAAAAACGGGTGATAGGATGGTAAAAATCTATCATAACATTGATAGATTTGGGTATTAAGGATAAAAGAAATTACCTGAATTCCAGGTTGTTCCCAAAAAAGTGGAATAGATCCACGGATTTGAATGAAGGATGATACTTTGTCGTCCAGAAAAATTGCCTAAATAACAGAAATCTATTTAGCACATTGTAATATGTAAATATATTGTTACAGGGACTACTTATGGTCCTGTGATACAGTGCTCATCACATGAGTAGTGTGCAATATATAATAAGAATTAGATTTAGGAAACAGGCTTTAATCTTTGCAAACAACTAAATCTATGAATTTTTGCTTAAAAATAAATAAAAAAAAACAAATTTGAAATGCCATGACTTCCAATCACATTTAACTTGTTGAACACTTATCATCATCTTTTTAAACAAAAAACAAAAGCACATTAACATCATAATTCTATTCTATTCTATTCTATTCTATTATAATTCTATTGTATACGCATTAAGTGGCATAACAATTGTATTGCGTCAACAGATAAGAGGAAGTGAAATAATAAATGGGAAGTCAAGCCCACAGAAATACTACAGAATCAGATTTCTGATACTTAAACCCTACTTTCCAAATATTATGACATATTTCCTCTGCCCCTGCCAGACATGTTGCCTTAAAACCACTGGAACATCAAAGGAAGGTTCCTGACCTGTTCAGTTTCCACAAAGTTGGCGACTTGTCCATCATCGTTGGTTCCTCTCACATTGAAGCGCGTGCCGGCCCTCTCAGAGCTGAGGCGAGAGAAGATACAAGCCTTGGCCTGTTTGTGGCCTGCATATATGGTCCTGATCTCCACTCCTCCACACATGAGCCTCAACAGCCAGTCGTCACAGTTTACTCCATAGTGCTTTAGATGCAGATGCAGTGACTGGTTCCTGATGGAAAATACATTTTTTTTTAAGTTTAGGTAAATAGTTATAAACTAGTAGTAAATATAGCAGTTGTGCACTGACCAGAAAAAGCGGTTATCTGTGGTATCCTCCAAGATTCTGCGATGTGCATTCAAGCTCAGGTCCATGCTGACTCCGGTGGCGGACCAGGCAAAATAGAAATGTCCAGAGTTAAGGACTTTTCGCACCTCTGCAATGCGTTCCTCATCGGCCGGGTCATTGTTGAGAGAGATGAAGTCAGTTTGTGTGACTCGAAAAACCTCAGAGTCCTGGACTTTCCCCACTGAGCTGCAGCCAGAAACCACCACCAGACTGTGGAGCATGGAGTCGCCTGCAAGAGGGAGGTTTAAAATAAGTTGACATTTTGTATTTTATTTTGCACATACATTATACAAAACTACACAACAAGCGTAAGTGTAATTGTAATGATTGTATTATTTTGAAAACATAATTTCCAAGGTCATGTAGAGAGCAGGGAAAAACAGCTTATGTTGATGCAGTAAAAAAAAAAATCTAAGAAGTTACAGTACACTTAATATATCACATACCAAGGTTTAATCGGAGGACACCCAAAATTCCATATGCATCCTGGATCTTAGTAAAAGAATTTTTAACTGCGTCTTTCTCTGCTGCAGCTAAAACAGAAACAACAAAATATGAAGATTGTTACTTATTTACATGCTACTTTTACTACTCACAATTATCTAGCTGGCTAAAATGCATTACATGATACACTCTGTGGAATTACTGAATTATTTCTGTATTTTTTACATGCTAAACTACCGTTCTATAAATAAGGCCTTGAATCATGATAGTGCAATAACCTTAATGACTTACACAAAACAGCCACAGCTCCCGACTCAAACATCAGGCATTCTTCTCTGCCCCTGGTCTCCACAATGACACTGTAGGGGGGTGGATCCAACTTATGGTAAATTCGAAAGCCCTTACTAAAGGCCATATTTGCTCCCAACTGGTTAATCTTATGTGATGATCTGAAAAATATATAAACAGCATTGCAATTGGCAAGGCAAGTTTATTTGTATAGCACAATTCATACACAAGGCCACTCAAAGTAGAGACTGTCACACACGAAAAAATCATAAATAATCACAAGACTATTGCACATCAATCATAATACAATACAATACAATACAATTTATTCTTGCATGGCCGTAAATCACAACAGAAGTCATCTCAGAGGACTCAACAAAACCATAATCTCATTAGGTTTCTAATGTTAATTGTGGTAGATGTCTGACAGAGATGACACCACACTCTTATTGCCTTTTTTATGCATTTGAACAGCTTGACTACACTTGATATAGTGTATGCCAGGAGTAAATCATAGAACTGGCTGTGCAATGGTATGCGCAGGCCCTGGCTTTGAGGCATAAACATCTTCAGTAAAAATGAATTAGTACACACAACTGTAACAACACATCCACTGCGTTATAACGTGTCGGATGGTGATTCATAGACAGTGATAGCATTCATTTCTGATTGAGGCAGTTAAGGCCAAAGCTTTAGATATCTTCCATCCTCTATGAGCCAGTCACGACACTAGATGCAAGTGCATGAGGAGAAGCTAAAAGCCAACATTAATCCTCTGGCTTAATACCACTGGTTTGTTTTACTAAACGATCAGGTCATATCATATCAAGTCTAAACAGCCATGTAATCTGATTTTCAACAGAAAGCCGTAGAAAACACTAGTTTGTCTAGGCTGTTGGTTTGGTTAATCACGGAGAGCGCTAAGACTTGCTAGCCTCTACGATACCTGGACGCCTGTGTAAGCTCGAGCAAATTATCCAACGTGAACCAACGTGTTTGGGAATGTTCGCATCGTTATCATTGTTAAGATATATATATATATATACACTACACCCCTATATATTTAAAGGCTGGATCGAGACGTGAGAAATAACGCGTTTCACCTTTCCGTCCTCCCCCGCCGCCGGTGTTGGTTGATACTTCGCTGTCACAACAAAATCCTCCCCCCGATGCGAATGGTACAGTCCGTAAGCACCGCCTCCGTTACGTTACAGAAAACGACCAAATACAAAACTTTTCTTTCAAATATTTAACTTTTTATCATAAGACTATGTTTATTGTACAAAGCATCACAATTTAAACACTCTAAAATGGCTACATAAAATAAAATAAATGACAAATAAAATGGTTCGCGCATATGATGATGGGCAGCTGAATTTGACCAATGCATGTCCAGCATGGGGAGTTCTGTCCAATTACGTTTTACAGGAGGCGGGGCATTTATGATACTTTCATAACAGAGGAACGTAGTCCCAGTCGTTTACAGATCATGCTGTTTTTAAGCCGGAGGACAATTCAGTAAACAAGTCTTTAATACGGTAAGTGCACGATTCGCTTTTAGACTGGTTGCCTGTCTGTTGATCATGACCTAGATTTTCATTGTTTTCTTGGTATACAGATAGCACAAAAGCACTATCTTGTTGTTGTAACAGTGACATGCATGGGCAAAGGCAAGCGAGATCAATAGTTTTCAATGCATACCTGACCTGTATTATTGATTTAATAAATGTTATCTTCTCGTGATAAACCAGTAATATCTGAAGCCATTGGTGGAGGTTTATAGGATGTTTCTATGGCATGCGTTTGTTTTTGTTAACAACAGGCATTATTTCCTTCTTGCAGTGACAGCATGAAGGTCTACCTTGTTGAACCTGCTGTTGGGCTCTACGCCTTTTCCTGCTTCCTCAGCTTTCCCCTGTTACAACAGTTTATCTACCGCAGACTCTGGGAGGATATAACTAACACAACTTACCCTGAGTTTGACAATGTCACCAGATGCGGAAAGAACTCCAGCAACAATGAGACCAACTATCACGAGGCAAGTAAACGAGTTACATAGGACATAGAACATCTGTTTTCCTGCTGAGACAACATGTTCTTGTTCTAATCTAGTGTCGTAGCCATACATCATCAAGTTTTACTTGAAAGCTCACACGGCTTTCTTAACTGCATTTGAGTTTTCTCTGTCATCAATGAGTCTATTTTCTACTTTTATATTTCTAAAACCATAGCTTGAATATCAAAATTTACTCTACTCTGTTGAGTGGACAACAGAGTAAATTTCTCTTTCTTTCTTTCTTCAAAAGTGTATTGGACCATGCTACGGTTTAAGACCTAGTTTGTTGTTTTAAACTATCTATTTTCTTGTTTCTTGCAGGAGGTTCAGAGACATGCATCCTTATTATCCCTTTACTCCGAACTGTTCTCTGCCATTCCGAGCTTAATAGTTACCATCCTACTTGTAGCTTACAGTGACAGAGGAGGACGAAGGATAGCTATGATGATGCCTGTGATTGGGACTATTTTGTACATGTGCGGCATACTCATCATTTCCTACTTTCACTTGAACATTTATTTGATAATTGCCTGTTCACTTGTAAGTTCCTTGTTTGGAGGTTTTGGGACATTCCTAGGAAGTTGCTTTGCCTATGTTGCTGATATAAGTGAAAACGAACATCAGAAAACATTACGATTGGCTGGAGTGGATATGATTCTCGGTGTTTTGGCTGGAGTGGCATCTCTGTCGACAGGTTACTTCCTCAAAGCAGCGGGATTCAACTGGCCATTTATAACCTCTCTTTTAGGACTTCTTGTTTTATTGTTCTATATATTTTTTATACTTGAAGAGACTGTAAAGAAGGTTCCCCGTGCCGTCTCCACCTTGGATTCACCTCCTCAGGACTCTGCTATCAAACAAATGTGTCATGGCATTTATCAAGTATTTGCTGATGGGGATAGTAGATTCAGAACTATTCTGATCTTGCTTTTAGTTGCTTTCACCTTTTTTTCCTTTACCAATATTGGTGGAATGTCCCTGATAACTCTATATGAGCTAAATGAACCACTTTGTTGGACTGGAATTATGATTGGATACGGCTCTGCACTCAGCACAATGGTGTTTTTGACCAGCTTCTTTGGAGTGATGGCCTTCTCTTACTGCAAAATGCCTCAGACCATCATGGTCCTGTTGGGATTCCTGTCCTTCATAGTGGGCATGGTCATGGTGTCCTTCGCCAAAACAACTGAACTCATGTTTTTCGGTAAGAGCTACTATGTTTTGTGTTTCCGCATCGGTAGTGTTCATGTGACATAATAATTGTATTTCAAAGAAGAGACTGTTATGACCAATATATGTAGCATGGTGCTAGAAATACAATCTTGAATACACTTTTATACTTTATAAACACAAAAAGATATACAAAACCTCTGTGTTTCCATACTTTTTAATCTATTTATTTTCTTTTTGTAGCAAGAATACCCATGTTTTTGGCTGCTATGCCCTTTCCAGTCATTCGCTCCATGATGTCAAAGATAATCTCAAAGGCCAAGCAGGGTAAGTGCAGCCACGCAGCCGTATGTTCTGTTTGTGAAGTCAGAGTCCAGGAGCCTCATCAGCAGATATTTGTAGAACTTGAAAATAGAATACAAGTGAAAGTCTCAAAGTTCCTACTCACATTTCCTGTATTTGTCTTGCAGGTGCGCTGTTTGCCTGTATATCCTGCACAGAAAGTTTAGCTGGTACCGTATCAATGGCAGCTTTTAACAGTATTTATGCAGCTACTGTTGCTTGGAACTCTTCATTTGTTTTCTTGCTTTCTGCGGGACTTTGCATGATTCCGTCAATAATAATTGGGTAAGTTGCAAAAGGTCCAATTCATGATTTTTCTTTGAATCACAACTTCCAATTCTCAATGCTCAATGTTTACTTGATGAAGGGGTGGTGTTTGTTCATTTGGCTTGTACCTTTTCTGGAAATTGTATCAAATAGCCCACAGGCCCACAGACCCTCCTGCATCGGCAAGGAAAAACTCTAAAACCCAGTGGGAGAAAAGAGAGGGATCCGCTCCACACGGATGGACGGGCTATAGATCCTGGACGAGAACCAGTTACAAAGGAAATTACTTTGCAGTATCTTGTGCATAACTCAAGTTATAATGACAGACAAATTAAAAGAGTAAAAATAAAAATAAAAAGATAAAAAAAGTATAATTATCCCTGATGCACTGTCACTATTCTTATAATATAAGTATTTTTTTAGTGATGTTCCAAGGTTGGGCTCATAATAATACCGGAAGGTGTAGACAGAACAATACAGTGCACAGATGTAAATATTGAAGCATTTACAGTTAGCTAAGAAACATAGCAGCTACTCATATTGTATATTTTGTCCCTGTGTGTTTCCCTGTGCTTTACTCTGGTCTCGGTTTAAACTATTTTTGATGTTTTATGTAGTTCCCTTTCAAAACTGAATTTTGTTGGATGTGTAACAGTTATAGTCTATAGATTACACAGGATCCACGATGTGCTTAGTCAGACCATGTTCCATTCAGTCACATGCTGTTTCAAGAGTTCCAGTTCAATGACTAAAAAGCTGTCAGCAACTTTTCTAGCACTCTTAGACCACATCTTTTTTCTTATTTGTCCATTTTCTTTTTCAGAATTTTGATTGTGATGAGAGTGGACTTCAGCACAAAGGATAAAGAGGTTCCTATTGAGGAGAAGGGTCTAATCCAGGATCAGAATGACAACCCTGACACTATAAACTAAGCTACTGCCCTCTCTAGTTTTCTGTCTAATTATAAACAAAATTCATGATCAATTTTAAGCTGCATGCAATCTGAGAACTATTAACAAAGGTAAAATCATAGACTGTATATACACAGATATGGCCTTCCAATTGTCACCTCTTCTTTGGTCATTGAAGGCAATACATTAACTCTCAGTTTCCCATTAGAAGCAGAGACTGAGGGCTTTCCATTGTTTTCAATAGCTAATTATTTATTCTAGTTTTGTATATAAATGTTTATTTGTTTTTTTTAAGTTTTATATGTAATAAAATTGTCATAATATATTTCTTGATAAAAAATAAAAGGTGTAATAATATGCAGATAACGTGCCATCATGGTCTCTGCAAGTCCCTTTCAATCAGTTCCTTTTTATTTGGAGGACAATAGTCAAACCAATGGCGATGGGCCTCCTCTGACAACCAAAGATTTTATTTTATTTTGTTCAAGGATGGGCGGGTCTAATTGGAAACTGAAAAAGGTTTTTTCTCCTTCTCCACTAATTGAATAATATAAATCATCAATGCTTGAATTTGATTCACTTCAATGTGAGGAAACACATCATTTGCTCCTCATGCAATCTGATCCATGTATTTGATAACCAAAATAATTGAATGTAAAAAACACTGCTCATTTGACGTAAAATGCAATTTTATGTTACTTTTTGCATGTGTATCAGACGTTGTGAAGTAAAAGGGAAATTTTTATAGATAGATAGATAAATACTTTATTGATCCCCTTGGGAGAAATTCAGGTGTCCAGTAGCAGCAGAAAAACATCCATTCGTACAAATAAAACAAATAAATAGATCATTCTAAAAATAGCTAATAATAGTATTAAAATGCAACTGCCTTTAGATCACAGCAGCTGAGAAGTAGTAGCCTCTGGATGGAGCAGGACAGGTCAAAGCGGTTTTGGTTTTTGTTTTGGTTTTATATGCAGATATTTAAGTAAATATTTCTAAACTTTAAGTCCAAGCTTACATGAATAAGATAAACAGCCTTCGATATAATTACCCTTAGTATTCTTTATGACGACTTATGAGTGCTTTGAAGACATATCTTGTGTTGTCCACTAGTTGTCACTCATGTTCCATGCAACATTCTACTATCCAACTGTGAACAACTTTTTAAGCCATAAGTAGGAGTCAGTTGTTGAGCACAGCACTTTATATGAACTGGTGTTGATAGCTTTGTTCATTGAAAATTAATGTATATAAAATGTAATGAAATAAAATGTTTTTGTGTGAGTTAACACTTCTGGGTCAAACTTTTCTGTGAAGTTCAAAGTTATTGTATTTTTCTGCTCTCATTCACAATTTCCCACTCCCTTTATATGTAGATAATTTCTCCACAGACAGTTTAGACAACTACACAGTGTCATGTGGATGATAAACGGCCATCCATGGAGCAGTGATTCCATCAGATTGCGTGGCTCTTAAGACTGTTGCAGACTCCTCCTCTGTCTGGCTCTCTGTCATTAGAGTTCCCAAGTCCATGTTAAAATGAGGTTATATTTGACTGTATCAAGAAACTCTTAGATATTGTCCTAATATCAGACCTCAACGATGCCATCTATTAATCTAAACCACATATTGATCTCAAGTTTAAATTTTATCCAATAGTTTGAAACGGTCAGATAGTTCATACAGTTTTGTGGATTCATTTCAGTATTAGTGATAATAATTCAGCGGTTATATAGTTCTCTTTTGAACACTGTTCAGTGTTGGTCATCTATTAGCCACAGAAGCCCTGGAGCAGACTGATGGAAGCAATCCTGCCAATCCGTGCCATTGGCCACTTCAACCACCATGAATCCTTCACTTAACATCCATTCACTCATTCGTGTCTTGCCACAGTGCACAAGTTTGGCACTTTGCAGCCACAATCACAAAACTAACCAGGCTCTGTCCTGCTTAACAGCTGAGAATGAGATCATTGATGGGCAGGCATGGCCTCATGTGTTCAATGTTCTACCTGATGTCTGATTTAATACCACAGCAACAGAGATTTTGTAAGTGTGTGTGTGTTTGGACAGGATTGTGCAATCGAGGGGATGTGATGGTAGGAAGACCTGTGGTTTTGGTGGGGTTTGTGGGGTTTGTGCTCTCCGAATGCACTTTTTAATTTATTTTGTAATCAAGTAAGTCATGTTTATTTATATTGCGCATTTTACAGACCAAGGTCATCCAAAGTGCTGTACAATGTTCTGAGTGCAGATATCGTTCCAATCACTCCACACACGGTGATGACTGAAGCGAGACGCCGAACACTGGTCCATCAAAGCCCCCAATCAACACCATCATTTACCTATTTATACCTGTTGTGCATGATTTTAGTGGTAGGGGGAACCGAAGGACTCGGAGGGAACCTATGCAGACACGGAGAGAACATGCAAACTCCACTCAGAAAGGCCCTTGTCAGACCGGGATTCAAAGTCAGGACCTTCTTGCTGAGAAGCAAGAGTGCTAACCACTCAGCCATGTGCCGCCCAATACTATTTGTAATATTAATACTAATAGTATTAGTAGTACAAATAGTAAACGGAGGCTTATTAGTAATCAGAATCTGATTCTGATCAGTAGTACTAATTGTACATGTAGGCCTAGTACAGAAACAAATGGGTGGGAATAAGGATTACATCCAGTAAGATGATCAAGCAACACTGTAAAAAACAGTTTTAACACATTTTTATTAACATTCAATCTGGGGAAAACCTGGAAACCCGTTCATAAACTAAATGTGGACTGTTGGTGCCTGAGTATGTGCATGCCGGTTATTTTCCACCATTTTTAACAGTTCTAAAATAAGTCAAACTATCATCAATCCTTTTTTCATATATATATTTTCCAGTTGTTTAATTTACATTTTATTGTTTGAGATCTGCGTGATTGTCCTTTAGGTGTGAGCAGGTCATACCCAGACTGAGGTGTGGTCAGAGTGACGCAGGTTTCCTCCAGGGTCTGAAGAATTACAGGGGGAGACGGCCTGGTTCACATGGAAGCAATGCAGAAAACATTTAAGGCCTCCGGGTTGAGCTGAATCAACAGTGCTATCATCTTGTGTGCACCACATCAAAATAGTCCCCTTTTTATGTAGCTCTAAGTTGCTAACAGACTGCTGTGTCTTCTACCCAAGAGATGATAATGAATTTAAAACCTATTTGAGGTGGTTTGCGTGCAGAGGCAAAGGCGCTCCGAGGTCTGGCACATGATCGATACAAGATGATTTTTCCACTGGAGTGTTGATGGTTTCCTGTAGTGTGACTTGGCTCACCACAAACACTTAAGCATTGAAAGAGCACAACTTGCCCAGGGTTCACTGGAATAGAATATCACAGAAAGAAGTGGTTTGCAACTGAATAAGAACATATTTTATTCGCAGATCATTATTTATTGATGTAAGGTCTTTGAAAAATCAGACTTAATCGAATTTTGTTTAGTTTTTTTTTTACCACTTAAAACCAAAATATTAAAAGACTATTGCCTGTAATTTAGGGAGTAAAATCCCACCTTTATTTGTCCCAACAAGCCATTGTTTCCTTTTGTATCTTTTTAGTAATCCTATATTGAAATCATCTTTGTGCCCCTTACATACTGGTTTGGATGTTCACCATTAATGAAATAATATAATCACAAGTAATAACAGGAAATAACGACATTTTCTAGTGCTTTTTTGAAGAAAAACTCAAAGACGTGTTTAATTCCAGATTATTTTCCGACAAAAATGTAAAAACACATGATATCCTCCAAATGAGTGTAGTGTAAAAATGCATGGGCGAACCCTGGATTTCCCCTCCTCAGGTCGCAGGCCTCGCTCACTGATCCACATCTGGGACTCCTGTGTGCGCTGCCATCCTCTTTGTGACATGTGGCCAGACACCAGGAATGGCCCTCTTAAAATTATAGCTTTTCTCTTCCCATTTCCTTCCTTTTTGTATTTTTAACTGGCGTTCAATTACTATTTGCAGTTAGTTTGAGAAGAAATAACATTTTTGTACACACCCAGCCAATAGAAGTAACCTTGTATGTTGAATGGTTGTTCAATAAGTACAAAAATACACTGAATAAAACTGATGCATTATTATTAATATTATTATTATTATTATTGAATTCATGATACAGTACATTTTCTGTACATAATACATATTAGTTTCACATTGTAAGTTGAATGACAGAAGTACAGTTCTTGCTGGACTCTTAAGCACACCTGTATAAACCACATCAGAAAATGTTGAAAAGAAAGAAACTTTGGTCGCAAATACAATAGGGGGTACTTAAAAATCTGTTCATTTTAGGAACTTGAAAACAGCCTGAAAAACTGGCTCAAAGATAATGAAATCTGCAGTCATTCCTCTGATGTAAACAATTGTGTGTTGTATATTTTGTATATACTGTATTGTGTCTTTGTGATGATCATTCAATCAATCAAATTTATTAATTCTTTACACACTGTAAACCTGCTGTCACTTTGCCTCTGCCCAGGGATTATGGATGAAAATGAGCTTGTAGCTACAGTATGTCCGGTGTGAACAATACATTTATTGTGCAATGTCCCTGTCAAATACACAAAATTAAATAAAACTTTGAATGCCACACCTACAGTTGATCAGTACATGCTACCTCTTCTTTGACTATAGTCCTAATCACATACAAACAAGAAGTACGGTGTATTTCCCTGCACGTCCTTGCTCGCCTCTCTGCTGTTCACATAAACACACTGGGAAGCAGGAACGTCATCGGCTCAGAAGATCAACAGCTGTGATAGCCCATTGTTTTTTTTTACTGTATTTGCTAACAAAAACTTGAAAAAATAGCACAACAACTACTTCAGCAACTACTGTAAAAATACTTTTAAACTTTTCCCTTCACTAGATAAATAATACTAACCTGTAAGTGTGTCCTCTAATCTGACCACAGCCCTTCCCCTGCTTTCCACTTCACTTCAGAAAATCAGGTAGCCTTTTTACGATCTGTTTCAAATA